GTCATACTAAAAGACGTCAACAGATGGTACTTGTTGTTACCCTGCCTGGAGCTCGGCATTATTGAGGTATAACAAGTATCCGCGGATCGGATCGGAGTCTGTATACTGTGTCTCAGTTGGGTACCCATGCATGTTATACTGCGGCATGGTGAGTGAGAGTATGGTTTTACGCCGCTTTTAGCAATATTCTAGCAATGACACGGCGGGGACACCAGAAATGGGCTTCACACATTGTACCCATGTCGGGAATCGAACCCGGGTCTTCGGCCTGACGAGCGAACGCTTTAACCACTAGGCTACCCGACTGCCCCCTACTGCAGCATGGTATCTCAGTGGGCTTGCACAATATAACCGGCAATAGTCAGGACTAGCACAAGCTCGTGCTGACACATGTACATCGCTATTGAAGGGCAATGACCTCGAACCCATTTCACCTTCACGTTTAAATAGGCACCGGAACAAGCCGAGTGTCACAATTCGGGCAAAAGTGTTTAAACGTGTAAAATACTTCCGTTTTCATGATTACATCGTATAGAAGGGAAAGGGTGTGCAACTTTCCTGACCCTTTTGCCAGAACAAGGAAATGTTTTAACAATGTTGTTTAGGGAAACTGAATTTGCTTCTTTGTTGCCAGCGAATATGTGTACAATGTAATAGATATATCAGAGTGAGTGAGTGAGTGAGTGAGTGAGTGAGTGAGTGAGTTGGGTTTAACGCCGCTTTTAACAGTATTCCAGTTATATCGCGGCGTGTCAGCTTATTGTGGGAGGAAAGCCCGAAGTGATGCAGGTCTCAGACGTTTACCACTTCGGTGAAACCAACGAGCACGTTTATGGTGCTGACAAACCTAGAAACATTATCGGGGCGAACCGGGATTCGAACCCACAATCATAGGTTTCTGGCGTGCCCAAGAGACGCAACTCTGCACAGCGAATCGCGGCGCCTTAGACGACTGGGCCACCCGTGCCCCCAGATATACAAGAACAAACAACGCAGCGTTTCAGCTTTGTTATTGTTCTCGTGAACAATGTGTAGCCTTTTGGGATGATTTGTGAAGATAGTTGTTAAAAACTATCTACTTATGAACAAGGGATACCCCCTCTAAAAATATAAGGGATGATCTTAGACGTGAGTGAGTGAGTTGGGTTTAACGCCGCTTTTAACATAAAATTAATAATAAATCATATAATAACAACCAAGTGCAAATGTACCGTTTACAGGTGGCGATATATCCTTACAGTCATTGTGTAGGTTACATATAAAAATTATATAATGGTCTAACGTTGGAACTGCGTACGTCTCTATCTAATGATAACTCACTGTGTTATACGTGGTCCCGATAATTGCGGTTTAACAACATTGGAACGACTATATAACGAATCACATAGGATATTTTCAAAAGATATATATTATGTTTAAAATATGCAGTGCATTTTCCGTAGGTGTTACTAAAATGATACTGGCGTCATACATACATTTTTTTGGATTCAAACACATCCGCTATCTTTTTAGGGCACTGCGTATATTTCAGTAAATGGCAAATTGAAAAATCCAATGTATGAGAAAAACGCATTTCATAATACAGTTTTGATATATACCTATGCACCCAAAAAATACATACACGATAAAAATACGATTAAAAGCTATTATTGTTTCACCTAAATTATAAAAAAACCCATGACATTGATTAGATATAACGCCACCCCCCCCCCCCCCCCCCCCCCCCCCACACACACACACACACATATTATTCACACATACCACCTCCTACCCTAAAATGAGTGAGTGAGTTGGGTTTAACGCCGCTTTTAACAGTATTCCAGTCAAATCGCGGCGTGTTAGCCTAATGTGGGAGGAAAGCCCGAAGTGATGCAGGTCTCAGACGTTTAGCGCTTCGGTGAAACCCACGAGCACGGGTATGGTGCTGACAAACCTAGAAACATAATCGGGGCGAACCAGGATTCGAACCCACAATCATAGGTTTCTGGCATGCCCATCCCACATGTTTACAACTTGGTGAAACCAACGAGCAAGGGTATGGTGCAGACAAACCAAAAACATAATCTGGGAGAATCAGGGATTCAACCCACGATCATAGGTTTCTGGCATGCTTAAAGGACGCAACTCTGCAACCTAATGGCGGCGCCTTAGACGATTGGGCCACCTATACCCACAATAACTGGGATTGTGATAAATGGGTTCTTATGACAGTACCCCATACCGTGCGACATCGTGACAGTGCGACATAATTAATATGTCGCGTTGTCGTACATTATAAGGCCTTTTAAAATATATGTTAGACGGGGCGACAATGTCAACGCCGACGTATTTTTACCTTGAAAACTGTATCGTCGCGTTGTCGGATATATTGCCTTCTCTAAATACCAGAAATTATTCAAAAAGCGAAAATGCGATAACGCGACAATTGGTCAAAATGTCGCGTTGTCTCGTTGTCTCGTTGTTACGAGACATTTAATTTTGTCATTCGGTGCTTAATTTTGTGTGGGCGACAGCGTGACAATGTACCATTTAGGCTCCCAAAATAGCAAATATTAAACTATAACCGGCTTCATTTTATGTCCTTGGGTATATTGTTGACTGTTAGCAGCATCCATGCATGGCTTGCATCCTTTATAGTGGTGGGGGTCGGTCGGGTAGCCTAGTGGTTAAAGCGTTCGCTCGTCACGCCGAAGACCCGGGTTCGATTCCCGACATGGGTACAATGTGTGAGGCCCATTTCTGGTGTCCCCCGCCGAGATATTGCTGGAATATTGCTAAAAACGACTCACTCACTGAAGTTCAGCTACAGTCTGACCACATGCCAACGGCCTGTAAATAATAACACCCGGGCCAGTAAAACAAGTGGTTGATAGCATGAACACCGATCCACGACGACACACAATCAACCAGGTCTACATATTTTCCCCAGCAGCACAAAAAACTACTTCCCGGAAGTCAATCGTTGCATGTATACATTTCACATTCATGATACAAAAGTGTCAAATAAAGAGAATATGTACATATAGATACGTCGTTAATTCGAAAACACTCGAACAGATGTCGAGTTATCCGTTGTTAGAGACAAACGGAGTTCGAGTAATAGGTCATGATGTCTATAAGAATTCTTACGGGGCCAAAAAGTAATATCTCCTTAAACGACACAACAAGATAATGAGTTCGATTTTGAGCTCATTCGTGACCAACTCGTGTCATTCCGGGACAAGCCGAATAGCGACTTGTGCCCATCTCGTGGCCATTTATGCGACTGGGTTCAGTCTGAGCGCAAACGGGAAAAGTTAAAAGAATTGTCATCTCGTTGCGTAATGATTCACGTATACTTCCCCATGTAAATATATCGCCCAGATGCGATTAAAAAAACATCGGGTCTTACGGTATTTATACAGTATGATTGAACACATTTAAATGTATCTAGAGTATATTTTTAGATGTAAGACATAAGTAAAATACAAAATTATTCCTTAGGGATTCTTTGACCGAAGTACTTGAAGTCATACGCCGATTCTGATTGGTTTGTCGTATTTTCACACATAACATTCATCGATAGAGGGACGAGGCATCTTGCTGGTTACGGAAAAGGGCGAGTGGTGACGAATGGTTTGAGCTGTGTCACGTGAAGGCCCACAGTCTGCATGTACCATCTTCCCGAGGCAAGGGAGTTAACCGACTTCAAACGTCCAGTTTCCACCCTTGCCGAACTTGGCTGGAATTCCTGGACTCGATCGTAGCGCCGCTAGGGGGTATTACGAGTTATGTCCCTTCTAAGCCTCTCCTATGGACCAATCAGATTCCAACTCTCGTATCACTGGCATTTGTTTCAAACAAAATGGCGGCGCCCAGTCATGACGATCTGATCGATAATCAAGATCTATATGATATTGTGATAAAACGGGCCTTACATCGCGAAGTGCATCAAATCACGCGAGCGACTTGATTAAAAACATGAATAGATTTGGAAAATATCTGTTGACAACGAGTTGGCGGTGCACCTGCTTTGCAAATCTTGCAATCGACCGAAATCTGCACGACAGATTACGAACCGGATTTCGATTTCGTTGCGCGATTTTGATTGGACTATGCATAGACTCGTTAGTCCAGCCGAAATGTAACTCCATAATTCCAGCCTAGTTCGGCAAGGGTGGAAACTGGACTTTTAAAGTCAGTTAACTCCCTTGCCTCAGGTGGAGAGCATGTACATGGCATGCATGTACGTTATTGTGCCCATATTATATTTGCATTTGTTTTTATGGCTAATGCATTTTGTGGATATTCTGGATAAATAAATATTCTACACACTAACGCTTTAAGGGATTCATATACGTGAGTGCGTGAGTGAGTGAGTTAAGATTTTTAGTCACATCGCAATATTTCGGCCATATCGTGACTTTCAAAGGTTATACATAATAAATAGATGTAAACTATAAAAACCTGTCAACAAGGGACAGTAAAATAACTAGACTTATCACAGATTCTGATTTAAAACTAGCATGGAACCATAAAAATACATCACTAGAAAGAACAATACATTATAAAAAAAAGCTATAGATCGCCAGCAACTGAAGGTGGATCACCTCTCTGGGGACCATGGGGGCTTACAGTACCTTTGCATGGACCCCAGCAGGATTTACATCCACGTGTTGGTTGTGACGTCAATATGTGACGTCAGTATGTTGTGCCCACACAGGCTCTCCGCGATATTTCGTTATCTGTGTCAACTTTGTTTTATTATGCAGGATGGGTTTTGTCAGTACGTCTGTTGGTCGCATTTATGATACGTAGATGTTTTTTCAGTTTGTTTTTAAGTCGACGGCCATGTTCCGATTTTCCTTTCATTATATCAATAAGTGATAGATTTCTAAAAAAAATCAAATAAAAATAGAATTCGAATTTAATATATCCGGTTCTCAATTTTATCAAGTAACCAAAGGTTAAAACATTCTTGTTTCGAAACAAGGAGACCTAGTGCAGACAAGTGTACTCACTCTGAACAAGAAGGAACGCGGAGGTGTCACTGGCTTTGTTAGATGAGGGGTTGACGGCTGTGCAGGTGTAGTTGCCGCTGTCGTCGCCCACCACCCCCCTCACTGCCAGGACTTGACCCCGACTCCCCCTGGTCTGACTGGTCAGGTCCTGTCCACCTTTGGTCCAGCTGTAACGACAGTCGGGGAGACAGTTGGCGGAGCAGGTCAGGTTGACGCTATCTCCCTCCTTAGTCTGGGGTTCTGTTTTGACCATTTGTATCTGTGTTGGACCTTCAGGATCTGGAGGGAGAAAAAAACACCGACTCAAGAACTCATAATAATTTACTCGTTATTATTTCAATAACAACGTCATGGGGGAGTTTTATGGGGAGCCGGGTTTATTGTGTCATTTATTTCGATAATACTTCGTGGTCATGCAACGGGGCGAGGTCGGCCAAGAGGTCTTAGGTGCCTCAAGTTGCTGTGCAGAGTTGTGTCCCTTAGTTCAAGGATACTCTGATATTTTTAAGCACCAATCTCGGTGTTTTTAGGTTTCCCAATGGTGTAAACGACATTAAGTAGTAACGCCGTGACATAACTACAAAACAAATGTTCAACACGGGCTAAACCAACCCAGTCATTGTGTCGGGGGCACGGGTGGCCCAGTCGTCTAAGGCGCCGTGATTCGCTGTGACTTGCGTCCCTTGGGCACGCCAGAAACCTATGATTGTGGGTTCGAATCCCGGTTCGCCCCGATTATGTTTCTAGGTTTGTCAGCACCATACCCGTGCTCGTTGGTTTCACCGAAGTGGTAAACGTCTGAGACTTGCATCACTTCCTCCCACATTAAGCTGACGCGCCTTGATATAACTGGAATACTGGTAAAAGCGGCGTTAAACCCAACTCACTCACTCACTCATTGTGTCATTACCAATTCAGATGAGAGAAGCTGCAGTGATAGACACACCATTCTTGCTATTCAAACGAAGCTCCCTCACGCAATGCTGGAGTCGATGTAAAACATATTGGTGACATGTCCGTCGAAATACATTCATTCTAAATATATGTGAATATTTACCAGTCAGGTTCACATGGATGGTGTTGCTAAACTCTTCATATTCACATCTCCAGTTTCCTTCAACGTCGTCGTGTAAGGAGGAGGCGTTGAGGATGTAGACGTAGTTGCCGTCACTCTGCTGTCCACACCCACACGTGTACTGTGTCTGGGAATCAGTGTCTCGCGTGTATTGGGTACAATCATCTACCTTCACCGTGCACTTTGGAACAGTGTTCATTTGGAAGAGCAGACCTTGTGGTTGTCTGGTGGCTGTTTTGACGTCACACTTTAATTGAAGCGTCAGACCCAAAAAGGCCTGTGAATGTGTCTGGGTCAAGGTCAAGGACGTACCTGAAATAGGACTCGTCATGGTCAGAGAACAATGGGATGAGATGAGGTGAAATGGGGTTTTAACGTCGCGTTCAAGATTATTGCACTTACATAGCGACACGTGTGTGTGTGAGTGTGTGTGTGTGTGTGTGTGTGTGTTTGTACTAGTCCGGACTAATGCTGATTTTATAGTGCTAGCTAACTGACTCCGAGCCAAACAGTCTATGTTTTATCCCCTCAATGCCGCGCGCCAAGCAGGGTAACAACAAGTACCATCTTTTAACGTCTTTTGGTATGACGCAGACGGGAATCGAACCATCGACCTTCCACTCTCCGGGCAGGCGCTCTACCACTACACCACGGAGGCAGAAATGGCGTTTCAGGGGTTAGGGGTCAATGTGCTTTTTAATCAGAATTGACGTATGATTTGGAAAGAGGACAACGAAACAAACAAACGTATAATTTGGAGTGAGTGAGTGAGTATGGATTTACGCCGCTTTTAGCAATGTTTAACAAATATCAAGACGGGGTATACCAGAAATGGGCTTCACTCATTGTACCCATTTGGGGGCTCGAACCCTGGCGTAATAAGCATATGTATGTCTACGTTTTGTGTTGTTTCCATAAAATAATGTGAATTGTGTTTCAAATTCCGTTTTATTAAATAATATGCATTACTGTATCCAAACCACTTAAAGCGTACTTTCTTCTTCCTTAACTCATTATTACGGTGGCCCATAAGGGACATGGAGTCTGTTTTTCAATATTTTGATGTTTAACTTACTTTTATCTTAACCTTTTGCAAATTAACACAATCTGCCATACAAATATGTGATAAATCATGTATAAAAACATCCGAAAACATAGAAAAAATGTACTTTTAAGTAGCTTTTGAGTCGCTGAAATGTGAAGTGAAAATGTCAAAAACTAAAATGGAAATGTCAAAAACCAAAACGAAAAGGTCAAAAACTAAAATGAAAATGTCAAAAACACAAAACGAAAATGTCAAAAACTAAAATGAATACACAGAAAACTATTTCCACCGCGGTGATAATATTTACACCGCGGTGGAAATAGTTTACTGTATTTTCATTTTAGTTTTTGACATTTTCGTTTTGTGTTTTTGACATTTTCATTTTAGTTTTTGACATTTTCGTTTCGTTTTAGTTTTTGACATTTTCGTTTCGTTTTTCAGCGATTCAATATCTTCTTTACACATGATTTATCACATATTTGTAAGACAAATCGTGTTAATTTGCAAAAGGTTACGATAAATGTAAGTGAAATATCAAAATATTGAAAAACAGACTCCGTGTCCCTTATGGGCCACCGTACATTATCCTCTCACAACTGAAACGTTATTTCTGCTTCATGAAGTCAACCTTCTCCTTCATTTGGGCGTTTGAGTAGAAGTTAAACCGATCGCTCCGATGCTTGCCGTAAGAGGTAACTATGCTTGTCGTAAGAGGCGACGAACGGGATCGGGTGGTCAGAATCGCTGACTTGGTTGATGCATGTCATCGTATCCTAATTGCTTGGATCGATGCTCATGATGTCTTTGGACCTAAGCTTTGCAGTGTTTCGGCGACTGTTTTCAGACTAGAAACGTTTTTATAACGTTTGTATTTGTTTTGTCAAATCAAGTGTTTACTTTCTTTTTAGAAAGCTGTGTCTTTTCTACCCTATTGACATAACCAGAGCCCATAGATGTATCCCGTCCCCTGGGTAGCTAAGTAGTTGAGGGTGACTCGTTACACTGAAGGCCCGGGTTCCATTTTCAATATGGTTATAATAACTGGATTCGATTAATTGATGTAACATTATTTCGAATTAATATCTTGAATTTTCTTGGATCCAATCATCGTATCATTGCTTATGGTTGAAACAGGCAGATACCATAATATACCAAGACATGAACGTTTCTGTCCCCTCTGTGTTGTAAGTGCTATCGAAGATGAGTTCCACTTTTGTATGGTGTGTCCGTTCTATCTTGATCTGCGGTCTAATCTCATACCCAGTTATTATCACATGTTTCCAAGTCGTGAGAACATGTCCTTATTATTCAGCTCGACTAATCAAAGTATTTGCAACAATTTAGCAAAATATGTATTTCTTGCTGGTAAGAAACGTAATTCCATTTTCAAGGGAATACCTGTGTCGTATAATTAACTCCAATATTAACAGTTTGAATACTGCATTGTAAATCTTATAATTCAGCGCTCTGTCATATGTGTATGCCATCATGCTCTGCACGTGTATAATGGGCCGGTGGCCTCATTACCTGAATAAAAGCATCAATATACTGAAAGAAATGGCAAGGGGACACTTAGTTTTAGACACAGTTAAATGATATGCTATCATGGGCTCCCAGCCTTGTCTACCAAATACGCATTAACAATGCACACAACCACATCTGAACATTTGATTCTGACGTGTTGAATTTGTATGCGCGCTATTTCAAATGTTTCCCCATATTATTAATTGTTCCCTTATTCGTTTCCATCAGTATATGTGGAGCCAATTTCTGTTGCCTTGCTCTCATATGGTCTGGACATTGCTAAATACAGCTTAAAACAATTTCACACTCACTTATCCAAATGGGCTCCCCGAAATCCCCGACCTAAACGATCTGTAGCCCCAAATTCGACAGGGAGTCCAGAAGAGTATCTCGCATTAGTTTCACGTTTACCCTTTTCTCTCATTTATTTAGGGGGCACGGGTCGCCCAGTCGTCTAAGGCGCCGCGATTCGCTGTGCAGAGTTGCGTCCCTTGGGTACTGCAGTAACCTATGATCGTGGGTTCGAATCCCGGTTCTCCCCGATTATGTTTCTAGGTTTGTCAGCACCATACCCGAACTCGCGGGTTTCACCGAAGTGGTAAACGTCTGAGACCTGAATCACTTCGGGCTTTCCTCCCACATTAAGCTGACACGTCGCGATATAACTGGAATAATGTTAAAAGCGGCGTTAAACCCAACTCACTCCCTCACTCTCGTTTATTTGAGTACCGACTGCACATTTGCAGATTTGTTTCTAAAGTGTTGACATGCAGTCTCACTACACACAGAACTAAAATACTATCACAATCAAATGCTACACTGAACATTTCCGTAACTATACGTACTTACCGGTTGCCGTGTTACTCTGTACGTAAGCGAGCGCCAAGACAAAGATCAAGGCCATCTTGTCCCGCACAGCCAGCGGTGCCAAGGTTGTGCCAAATGTTCCTATTCCTCACACAATTTCGTGGAATGTAGTACAGCACAAGCCTGACTATGTTTCTGTACCAGATATTTCCTTGTATGTTAGCGCAAGGAAGTGACAAGTACGAGGTGCCCTACATCAGATCAATTATTTGTTTGTCGGATTGTCCCGTGGCAAAAGTGAATTTACTTCCGACTAATTTTAATCACAATGCGGTAAACTCGTTAATTCGAGTCCAGGGGGGTGGGCAGGGGTGGTGTGGTGTGGTGTGTGTGTGTGTGTGTGTGTGTGTGTGGGGGGGGGGGGGGGGGGGGGGGGGGGGTGTGCGTGCGTGCGTGCGTGCGTGCGTGTGTGTGTGTGCGTGCGTGCGTGCGTGCGTGTGTGTGCGTGCGTGCGTGTGTGTGTGTGTGTGTGTGTGTGTGGTCAATTAATATACGTCGATATACCCGTAGTTCGTGACAACAGGGTACAGATATCAGACCGTTATCTGAATTTTCCAGTGACTGCGTTTTGTTACTTTAACGATGGGAGTATGGTGGGGTCCACACGTGGTATTAGTATGACAAAATGTACGACAGAGTCGGCTACTTTGACTTTGAATACCGAATGTATCCCTTCTTTCTTGATGAGTATATTAGGAACATCAGTTTCACCGCACTGGAAGATTTATTGACATAACGATTTAATGAAGTTTGGGCGTCATTTGTTTAAAAAAAATTACATTACTCTTAAAAGGTGTTAATGTCTCATGATTTAATTGAAAATGAATAATTAGGCTTTGACTGTTATTATTAATTTTGTTTTTCATTTTCTGTGCCTTCGTTGAGAATACGTTTTGTCTCAAAACCTTTTTGAACTTTGTTGTCTGAGAAGGATGTGTTATCATATGTGTGCTTGGCTCTTGAGAACAGGTCAGCACAACGAAATGTCTCCCAGAGATGTTGTATCATCGGTACACAACATACTTGATCCTTGATATCCTTGCTTTCCATGTAGTTCGCACGGAAGTATATTATTTACAAAAAGTCACTGTAACCCACAGGAAACGAAAATACATTTTGCCTACAGCTGTAGCTATAATACTTAACAGTTACTCGCTTGAACAAAAGTAGAGTCTTAATGCTGAGAGTAAGTGTTGAGTGAGTGAGTGCTTGAGTGAGAGATCGAGTGAGTGAGTGAGTGAGTGAGTGAGTGAGTGAGTTGATGGGTGGGTGAGTAAGTGAGTGAGTGAGTGGGTGGGTGGGTGGGTGAGTGAGTGAGTGAGTGAGTGAGTGAGTGGGTGGGTGGGCGAGTGAGTGAGGTGGGTTTAACACCGATTTGGACAGTATTGTAGTTTTTATTTCCACAACATTTGGCAAATGCCAACTTCGAGTTTAATGGGCAAAACGCCTTCAGTGAAGTCGGGACCGTGTCTGAGGTTCAAGATATCGCTAAATATTGTTATCTCGAATTCGAGATAAGCGGTCATTATAGAGCGGCATTGTGAGGTGGTCGGAAAAGTCAAAGTTGGGACCGTGTCCAATTTTCCAGATATCACTAAATATGGTTATCTCGAATTCGATATAAGCGGTCATTCCAGAGCGGCATTTATATAGTGAGGCGGTCGGTAAAGTCAAAGTCGGGACCGTGTCTAATGTTCCAGATATAGCTAAATATTGTTATCTCGAATTCGAGAAAAGCGGTCATTATAGAGCGGTATTTATACAGTGAGGTGGTCGGTTAAGTCAAAGTCGGGACCGTGTCCAATGTTTAAGATAGCGCTAAATATGGTTTTCTCGAATTCGAGTTAAGCGTCATTATAAAACGGTATTTATACAGTGAGGCGGTCGAGAAGTCAAAGTCGGGACGTGTCCAATGTTTCAGATATCGCTAAATATTGTTATCTCGAATTCGAGATAAGTGGTCATTATAGCGCAGTATTTACATAGTAAGGCGGTCGGGGCGGCAGAATAGGTTCGAGATATCAGTACATTTGACACAACAGATCTCGAGATAACGGGGTCCGAATGTATAATATCACAGCGTGTCAGATTCTTGAAAAAGGATGTCGAATGTGACAACTAGGACTTGTGTGTGTGTGTGTGTGTGATGTGTGTGTGATGTGTGTGTGTGAGATATGTGTGTGTGTGTGTGTGTGTATGTGATGTGTGTGTGTGATGTGTGTGTGATGTGTGTGTGTGTGTGTGTGTGTGTGTGTGTGTGTGTGTGTGTGTGTGTGTGTGTGTGTGTGTGTGTGTGTGTGTGTGTGTGATGTGTGTTGTGTTGTGTTAGTGGTTAAAGAGAAGGCTTGGGTTCTATTTCCCGCAAGTGTTAAATATGTGCTGTGATATTACCTGAACATTATAAAAAAAGTCTACGCAACTCGGTGATGTTGACCACGTTGTGAAAATCATGATCACTGGATGAGAAACCATCAATCTGGGGTGCGTGAGTGAGTATTGTTTTACGCCGGTTTAGCCCCATTCTAGCAATATTTCGCCGGGGGACACCAGAATAGGGCTTCACACATTGTACCCATGTGGGGAATCCCACCCGGTCTTCGGCGTGATGAGCGAACGTTTTAACCACTAGGCTACCCAACCGCTCCTCAATCTGGATATGGGTCAATCTCAGACCCAAACCCACGTCTTCGACTTGCTTGAGTTGCTTACGGTCGCCATAGACCTCTGGGCCAGCCGTTTAATCAAGTCAATGGGGACGCAGGTAGCGGGTAGCCCGGTCACTTAGGGCACCGTAATTCTGTGCAGAGTTGCGTCCCTTAGGCGTGCATGGAACCTATGACAGTGGGTTCGAATCCCACGTCCTGATGGTTCTAGGTTTGTGAGCACCACACCAATGCTAGTAGGTGTCACCGATGTGGTAAATATTTAAGGCTTCATCACTTCAGGCTTTTCTCCCACTTCAAGCTGACGCCGTGCTATAACTGAAATACTGTTCAAAGAGGCGTTAAACAAACCCCTTTCTCATGTCCCAGGAATATAATGTTCCGAGGTCAACAATATACTTACTTGTGAAATCCAGTCCGTTTTGACAAAACAAAAAGTCGTATTTTTTTAGGAAATTTATTAACGATAACAAAAAGCTGAAAGGGGAGAGGTAAAACATTTGACATAATATTTTGCACAATCTAGTTCCCTGTACTTTGATAATGCAGGTGGATACGTTAGACTCGACTGTACGTCATACTGGAAGAGCTATTGTTTAAATGCACTGGAGTGTGAATGAAACAGGTCTTTGGTTGGCGCTGGTGACTATGCCTTACAATTATTTCATTTATTATATACAGTAAAGTACGGCTATAACGAACTCAAAGGGACAACTAATATTAGTTCGTTATAACCGTTGATCGTTATAAGTATATATACAGTATAACTTCAGCAGATAGTCGGGACCAAAAAAGTAAGTTCGTTATATCCGTCAGTTCATATAAGCGTGTTCGTTATAACCTTAGTTTACTGTACTTCAGTATAAAAGAGTTTTCTGAAGTTAGGAAAAGTGATATTTTCATTTTCATATTTCACTACATTGAACATAACACTACTGTCTTATAAGAGTTACCTCCCCGCAAATTGTCTCCCCTTTATCAGTGTCGAGCCCGTACGAGAACTGTCGACTTCTTTTTTATGTTAGTTCCACATTGACAGATGGCCAAATAATGAAAGATGGTCGTTTATGGAAACGTTGAAAACGTTGCGTTATAAACTGTAAATTTCGCATTTAACTCGATCGAGATTGATCGTTTCGCGAAGCGCCATTTTTGTTACTTGACCAGCGTGTAATCTTTCGCTTCCAAATGCGGTCTCGTAGATTTCAAGAATATTTTATGTTGAAGTTTATTTTGTATGTAATCATATCCAAATGCGTGATAAGGAATCTCATTGTCCTCAAATATGTTGGTACCTTTCCCCTTTCCCCAGTCACGGGGAGGGAAACGTGATATTTCACGAGACAGATGGAATATCCCATATTTATCACCTATAGAGTAAGAAATAACCAAGTTCGTAAGAATGCTATGTGCACTTAGGAAATATCACTTCATGCGCACCAGTCTATTTTTTTTATTCCGTCATCCGGACGGCATTGTTGACGTCATTCGAATCTTGTGACGTAAGGTCGGAATTATGTCACACCAGAAACGACGTCATAGCTGGACATAACGTAATCGACAATTGTGGGTCTCTAAGATGACGGTCGTGATCAATACATTTTTCTAAAGTGGAGCTAAAAATGATTCAGGTATAATGTATAATACACTTGCAAGTATGCCATACTGATTTTTCAAAATCCTTGTTCTCGATCGTTAAATACAAGACTTCTGACATTCGTTTCGTAATATCAGAATGACACATATGCTCGTATAATAATCGTTGTTTACTGTGGGGGTATGCGTATCTAGCTTCCTATATTAACATAAGGTGCAACATGAGAATTATTATACAGCAAATAATTGTACAGCATAATGGTATAAAACAGGACAGTTATAAGGCAGAACAGAGCTATGATATTAGTTGTCTGTAGCTGAGACAGTTAAATGTGCATTTTCGAATGTTGAATTTAGATTTGTCAAAGGATCTATCATTTGAAAACCCACGCTGCGCGTTCGGTTCCAAATTCAATATGGTCTACAAATGTTTATACACTGTAGTTCTGTAACAAATGTCCGTTAACTTTATGTCCTTGTTGGTTGGTTGATTGAGATTTCTCATTTATCATCAAAACACGGAAGTGTCAAAGCTTCCCAGTGAGATAACAAAGCCCTTCCTGGTTCAACAAACATATTTCAAGTTAACTGTTAGAAATGAGCCAAGCTAACCTAACGTTTCCCTGTTGTCATATATGTTCCAAATTACACAAGTCCTGTGCTATCATTAAGACACTGGTTATCAGAAAGTACCCTGCTTAGTATTAAATCGGGGGCACGGGTGGCCCAGTGGTCTGAGGCGCTGCAATTCGCTGTACAGAGTTGCGTCCCTTTGGCACGCCAGAAACCTATGCGGGTTCGAATTCCGGTCTGACCCGATCATGTTTCTAGGTTTGTCAGCACCAAACCCTTGCTCGTTGGTTTACCAAATTGGTAAACGTCTGAGACCTGCATTACTTCGGTTTTTCCTCCCACATGAAGTTGACAGGCCGTGATAAAACTGGATAACTGTTCAAAGCGACGGTAAACCCAACTCACTCACTTACTACCATAAAATTCCTGGTTATTGTAAAGTGTCTGGTTACCTATAGTCCCTGGTAACAACACAATCTCCCCCTTACTGTAAAGTCCCTGGTTACCAAAGGATTTATTGTTTCTATGGAGTCCCCAGTTACCATAAACTCCCTGGTAACAACGAAGTCCCCTGTTGGGTTGTGAGCAAAAGCTTGGTGTTAATCTGAGGGTTGGGTTGAGGGTAAAGTTGAACGTAGAGATGGAGATACAGGAGACCGCAGAAGAGGGTAGAGGGTAGGAATAGAGGCTAGGTTTGTAGGAGGCCTGAGGACATAATTGGGGATTGGGTATCGAGTACAGATTGAGGAAGGATTGGTGAGACTTGAGAAAGTTTGTTTGTTGGGTTGAGGGTCGTACCATTGGAAGTGGGTTTTGTGACAGTCTTTAAAATAGAATGGAGAACTGCTAGGGTAGGGTGATCTTAGAGAGGAGACGCAGTGAGAAGCCTGGGAGCGGGGGAAGGGTGGGGAGAGGGGGGGGGGGGGGGGGGGGGGGGGGCTGGACGAGATGGATTCTCTCGACACACAGACCTACATTCCCGATGTGTGTGCGACAGAGCGGGGTTGTTGTAGAGTTGAGGTTAACGGTGGTACTGTATGTTGTGTGCCATGCATGGCAATCTCATCTTAACAGCAACAAACAACAGCTGGTAGGTCCAAGTTAATATCAGAGAAATATATACACTTTGATACCAGCATTAATAAAGAGGCTAGGTGATAGGAACATTGGAATGTAACAAGTGTTGGTCATGGACATTGTATTGTGAAGGACCAAAGACAAGCAATGTTTCTTAACACTTCTCTTCTGATGTGTCCACAGATAGGCGTCGTTTGAGTGAACGGACTGGACATTGGTCAGTGCCCCTTTTCAACATCGTCCATGTCAGGCCAAGCGCTTCAGCTGCTGCTGGTGCTACAGTTGCTGTTCCTAGGGTAAAAGAAATAAATCCATCAAAACGGCAGCATAACAGCCATCGGTAGAATTAAGGTGTATCAGCTAGTAAGTACAACTTTCTATGTCAAATGAGGGTTGCGATTGAGGATGAAGATGAAGATGGTTATGAGGCTGGGGTTGATGTTGGGGTTGAGGATGAGGATGAGGATGAAGATGAAGATGAGGATGTGGATGAGGTTGTGGATGATGTTGGGGTGAGGATAAGGGTGTGGATGAGGTTGTGGATGTTGTTGGGGGTGAAGATGTGGATGAGGTTGTGGATGAAGTTGTGGATGATGTTGGGGTGAGGATAAGGGTGTGGATGAGGTTGTGGATGATGTTGGGGGTGAAGATGAGGATGTGGATGAGGTTGTGGATGAGGATAGGGTCGATGTTGGGGTTGATGACGGGGTTGGTGTTGATGATTGGGTTGTGGATGCGGATGAGGATTGGGGTGAAGATGCGGATGTGGATGAGGTTGTGGATGAGTATGAAGTCGTGGATGATGTTTGGGTGAGGATAAGGGTGTGGATTCGGTTGTGAATGATGTTGGGGGTGAAGATGAGGATGTGGATGAGATTGTGGATGATGTTGGGGTGAAGATGAGGATGTGGATGAGGTTGTCGATGAGGTTGGTGTTGATGTCGGGGTTGGTGTTGATGATGGGGTTCAGTATGCGGATGAGGTTGTGGTTGATGTTGGGGCTATGGATAAGGATGGGTTTGGGGTTTGGGTTTGGGCTGCTTCACAGCTTCTTGGGTAGTAGGTTCTATGCATAATGTGCATGGTGGCATGCTTACTGTCTAGGGAAGGTACCATCGTCGAAGAGGCTGATGTGGTCGTAGACGGGATTGGTTGCCGCATTGGTAGTGATGACCTTGCCCTCAACCGGCTTCATGTCAACCTTTGTCGAGAACACTACAAGAAAAAGAAGTTTATTGCAGATACTACTACTACTACTACTACTACTACTACTACTACTACTACTACTACTACTACTACTACGTTTCTACTACACCTACTCCTATATGTACTACTACTTCTACTATTTGTTGGCGGTTGGATGTTTAGATGTTAAAGCGTCGCTCGTTTCGCCACGACCCTACTACTACTACTACTACTACTACTACTACTACAATACGTTTCTACTACACCATTACCATAACCATTACGACGACGGCTACTACTACCACTATTATTTATTATCATTTCTTCTACTACTGCTGTATCGTCTAAACCCAACTCACTCACTCACTCTACTACTCCTGCCTATACCGTGAGACCCCAGGACGTAGGAAATCCTTTATTATTACAATACAACCACCCTTGGACGTTCCCTCAACCCAAGGACTTCGTTCTTTATCAAAGACTTACGTCCCAAATCCTAATCTCTCATCAAAAGACGTTAAATTGTCGCTTATCCTGGGAGTGTTTCATCTTTGGACTATACTTTATCCTAAGAGGACGATCCTTTATACTAAGAGGACGATCCTTTATCCGAAGAGGACGATCCTTTATCCGAAGAGGACGATCCTTTATCCTAAGAGGACGATCCTTTATCCTAAGAGGACGATCCTTTATACTAAGAGGACGATCTTTTATCCGAAGAGGAAGATCCTTTATCCTAAGAGGACGATCCTTTATCCGAAGAGGACGATCCTTTATCCTTAGTATGATAAGGGGAACAGTCAAATGTTATAGTTATTTCCTTACATTGAACCCCTACAGTTTGGTCAGAAGGTTTTAAGGTCCTGGGAACTGAGTTAACCCTCACCCAGAAAGCATTTTTCCTTACCCTCAAGGTGACCCTCCACCGGCAGAATGTACCCCCCGTCCTCCAGCTGTTTACTCCACATCTTGGGGCAGGGCAGTTCCTGGTAGTGGTTGGGATCCATCCCGCTGGGGCGTCTACATTGAAAACATATTGTGTTCCATAGTAATAAATAATGTTTCTTATGCTTACGTGTTGAATTGTTAGTTATTGAGACCAAAACGTGAGGGAGGTTGCATAAAAGACAAACGTGATGTGGGTGTGGGGTGTGGGTGTGGGTGTGAGTGTGGGTGTGGGTGTGGGTGTGGGTGTGGGTGTGGGTGTGAGTGTGGGTGTGGGTGTGGGTGTGGGTGTGGGTGTGGGGATGGTGGTGGGGGGTGGCGGGTTGGTGGTGTGTGTGTGTGTGGGGTGGGGGGGGGGGGGGGGGTTGGGTGGGTGTTGTATCGAAAAACATAAATTGACCCTGAAAATTCTTGATATTTAATTATGCATCAGACCTTTGAAAACGATGAATTGAATGAGTTGCCTGCCACAAAAATTACTTTGTTGCAATATGTCTTTCTTTATAAAAATCAGGCTCTTAAGTTTTATATTAATCAATCTGGTTTTGCACATGAAGCTGAAATGTTATTTAATCTTGATACAAAATGCCAATCCTCCCCCAACCCACCGAAAAATGGTCGGTCCTATATGACTTTGAGGAAATTCACAAGCACATGTATGGTGGGAAAGACCCATCCGGAAAATCTGGGATTCGAACCCACGATAATAGGATAAGCCACGTTTTATGACCTTTATTGCACAAAGAACTGTCTGGATTTCGACGACTGCGCAAACAGTTGGTTTTCTTTTGTTAAGATCGACATTTCCAAATCGAGTTGGTACAGAAATGAAACCTAATCGATGTTTAGAAATTTGAAATCAACCTCGCATAATGTTTAGAATGGAGGCCAATCCTGTCCACATAACGTGATAGACCCTCTATGGAGCCGACGTCAGATCTTCACTGCAGATATATGTAACTGATGAAAATACGATTGCACTACAAACGCAATGAAACAAAAACACTTCCCCGAGAATGACGTCACAGGATCCGCAAATTTCAGAAATCGGGGAAGTGTTTTCATTTCGTATAAAATGAATGTGACAGTATAGTTCCGACAAAGTGATTTCTCTCTAATTCTTGGGAAATCATGAAATGACCAGTATCTATCCTCAAGGTGTTCACTTAGCCTGATATACTTCCAAGCTGATGTTATATGTTTCCCATACCCCTCATCAGCTGCTTGGGGGCACGGGTGGCCCAGTCGTCTAAGGCGCCGCGATTCGCTGTGCAGAGTTGCGTCCCTTGGGCATGCCAGGAACCTATGGTTGTGGGTTCGAATCCCGGTTCGCCCCGATTATGTTTCTAGGTTTGTCAGCACCATACCCGTGCTTGTGGGTTTCACCGAAGTGGTAAACGTCTGAGACCTGCATCACTTCGGGCTTTCCTCCCACATTAAGCTGACACGTCGCGATATAACTGGAATACTGTTAAAAGCGGCGTTAAACCCAAATCACTCACTCACTCACTCATCAGCTGCTTGTGACAATTTCCACGTACCTGTTAGTTGAAGCATATGGGGATTCCAACTCTGTAAAGACATGTGACAAACGATACTGCCAGTGATACAATTATATTTAAAACGTTAAAAAAATGCCATACAATTTTAAAAATTAAACTAAAACATAAATTCGTTGATTTGTTCGTTCACTCATTCATTGACCGATGAATGATGTGCCTTTTAGATTTTTCTTTTGTCAGTCGTCTGATAAATCATATGATAAAGGATATGTCATTCATTAATTCATCCATCCAATGTCTGATGAACGATATGTCATTTATTAATTCATCAATTCGCTAACTGAATGATATGACATTCAAAAATTAATACATGCATTGCCTGACAAAGGATATGTCAATCATTTATTCGTCAACCCATTGCCTGATAAAGGATATGTCATTCATTAATTCACCCATCCATTGCCCGATAAAGGATATGTCATTCAACAATTCATCCATCCATTGCCCGGTGAAGGATATGTCATTCATTAATTCATCAACCCATTGCCCGATAAAGGATATGTCATTTATTAATTCATCCATTCGCTACCTGATACCTGATATGACATTCAGAAATTAATACATGCATTGCCTGATAAAGGATATGTCATTCATTAATTCGTCAACCCATTGCCTGGTAAAGGATATGTCATTCATGAATTCATCCATCCATTGCCCGATAAAGGATATGTCATTCAATAATTCATCCATCCATTGCCCAGTGAAGGATATGTCATTTATAAATTCATCATTCCATTGCCCAATAAAGGATATGTCATTCATTAATTCATCCAACCATTGCCTGATATGTCATTCATTAATTCGTGTATCCACGAGACAAGAGAGTTTGCCTGGTAAAGGATATGTCATTCATTAAATCATCAACCCATTGTCCGATAAAGGATATGTCATTCATTACTTCATCAACCCATTGCCCGATAAAGGATATGTCAATCATTAATTCATCCATCCTTTGCCCGAAAAAGGATATGTCATTCATTATTTCATCAACCCATTGCCTGATAAAGGATATGTCATTCATTAATTCATCCATCCATTGCCTGATATGTCATTCATTAATTCATCCATCCATTGCCCGAAAAAGGATATGTCATTCATTATTTCATCAACCCATTTTCTGATAAAGGATATGTCATTAATTCACCCATCAATTGCCTGATAAAGGATATGTCATTCAATAATTCATCCATCCATTGCCCGGTGAAGGATATGTCATTCATTAATTCATCAATCCATTGCCTGAAATGTCATTCATTAATTCGTCTATCCACGAGACAAGAGAGTTTGCCTGGTGAAGGATATGTCATTCATTACTTCATCAACCCATAGCCCGATAAAGGATCTGTCATTTATTAATTCATCAACCCATTGCTCGATAAGGATATGTCTTTCATATCCATCAATCCATTGCCCGATAAAGGATATGTCATTAGTTAATTCACCAACCCATATGCCTGATAAAGGATATGTCATTCATTTATTCATCCACTCATTGCCTGATAAAGGATATGTCATTAATTAATTCACCCATCCATTGCCCGATAAAGGATATGTCATTCATTTTAATTCATCCATCCATTGCCGATAAAGGATATGTCATTCATTAATTCATCCATCCATTGCCTGATATGTCATTCATTAATTCGTCAGTCCACGAGACATGAGAGTTTGATACCTTCAAAGCATTTGAAGAACCATATCGTACTTCATGATACCGATAAAAGGATGGTTACCTCTCTTCATCGTCTGGTACTTTATGTAGAATACAACAGCAACGACGATTCCGATGGCAAACATGGCACCTACGCCGACGCTGACGCCGATTTCGAACGTTGGATATCCTGTAAATAGCGACAACACATTTTTATATTCAAAAGAAATCTTTGCCCAAAGAACAGTCGAATGTACGATTGTGACTATATCACGAGCATGTGTTTATGTATAGTATACGTAGGAGGAATTGGTCTTAACCAGGAAGACATTGTAAGGTTTCTATTTCTGGGTGTGTTATGTTATGACGTACCTGCGTCAAAGTATGTGGCGACCTACTTCCATCACGGCATGTTATGGGTATGTTGGGACGTAATTCATTAGGACAACTATATTATGACGTTCCACCATGAGGATATGGTATCACGTACTTCCACCAGGTATGTTGAAACTCCAAGCCCCCCTACCCCCCCCCCCCCCCCCCCCCCCCCCCCTCCTTAGGTGACTAACGGGCTCGCTGACTTGGTTGACGCTCGTCAATCGTCGTATCCCAATCGCGTAGATCGATGCTTATGATGTCAATCACTCGATTATTTGCTTATTTATATTGAATATTGCTGAGTGCAGCGTTAAACAACAAACAAACAAAAATATAAAATTACGTACCCCAGTTACGCTTATGCCATAAAGTGACATTATAACAATGTTCTATGATGAAAAATCACATCTTACCTGCCGTTTATGTTTGATGTATAGTTTACATTTTAGAACGCACCTGTTTCAGCTTGGCCGCAAACTGCACCCACAGGCTGATGACCTAAAATACAATGTACTCATATCATTACTTATCATTATGACCCGTGAAGATCCGGGGTAGGATAGGTCTTCAGCAACCCATGCTTGTTGTAAAAGGCGACTATGCTTGTCGTAAGGGCGACTAACGGGATCGGGTGGTCAGGCTCGCTGACTTGGTTGACGCATGTCATCAATCCCAATTGCGTAGATCGATGCTCATGATATCAATCACTGTATTGTCTGGTTCAGACTCGATTATTTCCGTCATATAGCTGGAATATTGCTGAGTGCGGCGTAAGACAACAAACAAACAAACAAACAAAACTTATCATTATATGGAGCATTTTGGCTCGGGGTAGAGGGTGTTTGTTATATACACAACCAAACGCACGCGAGCATAGAAAGATACAGAGTTGTATTGAAGACGAGACGAGTCTGATATATGGGGAGGAGATGGGAATGAAAGACATTTAGACATAAAGAGGGATGGATAGAGGCAGACTGAGAGAAGGGGAGAAGAGAGGAGAGACATTGGGAGATTCAGAGAGGTGGATATAGGTAGAGGCAGACTGTGAGAAGGGGAGAAGAGAGGAGAGACATTGGGAGATACAGAGAGGTGGATAGAGGTAGAGGCAGACTGAGAGAAGGGGAGAAGAGAGGAGAGACATTGGGAGATACAGAGAGGTGGATATAGGTAGAGGCAGACTGAGAGAAGGGGAGAAGAGAGGAGAGACATTGGGAGATACAGAGAGGTGGATATAGGTAGAGGCAGACTGTGAGAAGGGGAGAAGAGAGGAGAGACATTGGGAGATACAGAGAGATGGATAGGGGTAGACGCAGACTGAGAGAAGGGGAGAAGAGAGGAGGGACATTGGGAGATACAGAGAGGTGGATATAGGTAGAGCCAGACTGAGAGAAGGGGAGAAGAGAGGAGAGACATTGGGAGATACAGAGAGGTGGATATAGGTAAAGGCAGACTGAGAGAAGGGGAGAAGAGAGGAGGGACATTGGGAGATACAGAGAGGTGGATAGAGGTAGAGGCAGACTGTGAGAAGGGGAGAAGAGAGGAGAGATATTGGGAGATACAGAGAGATGGATAGAGGTAGAGGCAGACTGAGAAAAGAGGAGAAGAGAGGAGAGATATTGGGAGATTCAGAGAGGTGGATAGAGGTAGGGCCAGACTGAGAGAAGAGGAGAAGAGAGGAGAGACATTGGGAGATACAGAGAGATGGATAGAGGTAGGGTCAGACTGAGAGAAGAGGAGAAGAGAGGAGAGACATTGGGAGATACAGAGAGATGGATAGAGGTAGAGGCAGACTGAGAGAAGAGGAGAAGAGAGGAGAGACATTGGGAGATACAGAGAGGTGGATAGAGGTAGAGGCAGACTGAGAGAAGGGGAGAAGAGAGGAGAGATATTGGGAGATACAGAGAGGTGGATAGAGTTAGAGGCAGACTGAGAGAAGGGGAGAAGAGAGGAGAGACATTGGGAGATACATAGAGGTGGATAGAGGTAGAGGCAGACTGAGAGAAGAGGAGAAGAGAGGAGAGACATTGGGAGATACAGAGAGGTGGATAGAGGTAAAGGCAGACTGAGAGAAGGAGAGAGAGAGAGAGAGCATGAGACGAGACAGGGAGAGACACATAGGTGGACAGAGACAGAAACAGATTGAGAGAAGGAGAGGAGAGACATGGAGAGATAAATAGGGCAGATAGAGAAGGAGAGAGAGGATAAGACGAGACAAAGAGAAACACAGAGAAGTGGAAATAAGCAGAGGCAGCTTGAGAGAATGAGAGAGTGGATGAGACTCTCAGAGAAGGATAGAGAGAGCATGAGACGAGACAGGGAGAGACACATAGGTGGACAGAGACAGATTGAGAGAAGGAGAGGAAAGACGTAGAGATATAAATAGGACAAATAGAGAAGGAGAGAGAGGATAAGACGAGACAGAGAGAGAGAGAGACAGAGAAGTGGAAATAGGCAGAGGCAGCTTGAGAGAATGAGAGAGTGGATGAGACGAGACAGAGAGAGATACAGAGATGTGGATAGAGACAGAGACAGCTCGAGAGAAGGAGAGAGGATGTGACGAGGCAGAGACATATACAGATAGGTGGATAGAGGCAGAGGCAGCTTGAGAGAAGGAGAGAGAGGATGAGACGAGGCAGAGAGAGATACAGAGAGAAGTGGATAGAGGCAGATAAATATTGAGAAAAGGAGAGAGGATGAGACGAGGCAGAGAGAGACACACAGAGAAGTGGATAGAGGCAGAGGCAGCTTGAGAGAAGGAAAGGAGAGGTATAGAGAGATAAATGAGACAGGTTGAAAGAGAGGGAAGAGGAGAGAAGGATTGACATTCAGACAAACAGACAGACAGACAGGAAAGAGAGACAATCAGGCATAGAAAGAAACAGAAAGACAGACAGAAACATACACTCCCTTCAGACAAACGCATTTGGCCCTTCAGAACTGTCACCGACCTTCACCTTGCAGGTCAATGTAGACAAAGGTCGTATCGACGATGTTCTCGGCTGAGACACAGTACATGCCCAGGTCGTCGTCCGTCTCCACCTTAACCTCCAACTCAGCTGTCAGACTGTCACCCGCTCCCCCTAGGGTATCTGAAACAGTCATGTACATGTCTTACCTAGTCCAACAAAATCTCAACACAACTCGCCGATTGTCACCCACACCCCCTGTGCTATCTAAAACAAACAACATGCGCAACTTAGTGGAAAGAAAGATGTCAATAAATAAGTTACAAAACAATATTGATTAAAAAATAGTTTACATGAAACACCCAAAATACATGCTCTTAGCCCTTAAACATGAATGTCCTTCAGAACCAGAGGTCTTACCGTGAAGTATCGCGCCCAGACTACTGTCTGTTCCACGACCATGCCTTTACCGTAATGTACCGTCTATCAAATCTCGTCTGTTAGGAGGCTAGAGATCCATGCCTTTACCATGATGTACCGCGTACCCAAATCTCGTCTGTTAGGAGGCCGAGATCCATGCCTTTACCATGATGTACCGTGTCCCCAAATCTCGTCTGTTAAGAGGCCAGAGATCCATGCCTTTACCATGATGTACCGTGTCCCCAATCTCGTCTGTTACGGGACAAGAGATCCATGCCTTCACCATGATGTAACGTGTCCCCAAATTTCGTCTGTTACGGGATCAGAGTTCCATGCCTTTACCATGACGTACCGTGTCCCCAAGCTCGTCTTTTACGGGACCAGAGATCCATGCCTTTACCATGATGTACCGTGTCCCCAAATCTCGTCTGTTAGGAGGCCAGAGATCCATGCCTTTACCATGATGTACCGTGTCCCAAATCTCGTCTGTTAGGAGGCCAGAGATCCATGCCTTCACTGTGATGTACCGTGTCCCCAAATCTCGTCTGTTAAGAGGCCAGAGATCCATGCCTTTACCATGATGTACCGCGTACCCAAATCTCGTCTGTTAGGAGGCCAGAGTTCCATGCCTTTACCATGATGTACCGTGTCCCCAAATCTCGTCTGTTAAGAGGCCAGAGATCCATGCCTTTACCATGATGTACCGCGTACCCAAATCTCGTCTGTTAGGAGGCCAGAGTTCCATGTCTTTACCATGATGTACCGTGTCCCCAATCTCGTCTGTTACGGGACAAGAGATCCATGCCTTTACCATGATGTACCGTGTCCCCAAATCTCGTCTTTTACGGGATCAGAGTTCCATGCCTTTACCATGACGTACCGTGTCCCCAAGCTCGTCTTTTACGGGACCAGAGATCCATGCCTTTACCATGATGTACCGTGTCCCAAAATCTCGTCTGTTAGGAGGCCAGAGATCCATGTCTTCACCATGATGTACCGTGTCCCCAATCTCGCCTGTTAGGAGGCCAGAGATCCATGCCTTCACCATGATGTACCGTGTCCCCAATCTCGCCTGTTAGGAGGCCAGAGATCCATGCCTTCACCGTGATGTACCGTGTCCCCAAATCTCGTCTGTTAGGAGGCCAGAGATCCATGCCTTTACCATGATGTACCGTCTACCCAATCTCGTCTGTTAGGAGGCCAGAGATCCATGCCTTCACCATGATGTACCGTGTCCCTAATCTCGTCTGTTAGGAGGCCAGAGATCCATGCCTTCATCGCGATGTACCGTGTCCCCAAATCTCGTTTGTTAGGAGGCCAGAGATCCATGCCTCTACCATGATATACCGTGTCCCTAAAACTCGTCTGTGAGGAGGCCAGAGATCCATGCCTTCATCGCGATGTACCGTGTCCCCAAATCTCGTTTGTTAGGAGGCCAGAGATCCATGCCTTCATTGTGATGTACCGTGTCCCAATCACGTCTGTAAGGAGGCCAGAGATCCATGCCTTTACCATGATGTACCGTGTCCCAAATCTCGTCTGAGGCCAGAGATCATGCCTTCATCGTGATGTTCCGTGTCCCCATATCTCGTCTGTAAGGAGGCCAGAGATCATGCCTTTACCATGATGTACCGTGTCCCCAAATCTCGTCTGAGGCCAGAGATCCATGCTTAATCTCATATTAGAAAATTATGTCTAACTTGATAACCCTGTGCCTAGCCTCTGCTTACGTTGATATCGAGAGCCTCCAGGGACAGAGCCCAATGCACACCTTGATGTAGCATGTCCCCGCTCCCGTCTGTACCAGGGACAGAGCTCCCTACATACCTTGATGTACCATGTCCCTGCTCCCGTCTGTACCAGGGACAGAGCTCCCTACATACCTTGATGTACCAAGTCCCCGTTCCCGTTTGTACCAGGGACAGAGCTCCCTACATACCTTGACGTATCATGTCCCCGCTCCCGTCTGTACCAGGGACAGAGCTCCCTACATACCTTGATGTACCATGTCCCCGCTCCCATCTGTACCAGGGACAGATCTCCGCGCCTACCTTGATGTACCATGTCCCCGCTCCCGTCTGTACCAGGGACAGAGCTCCCCACCTACCTTGATGTAGCATGTCCCCGCTCCCGTTTGTACCAGGGACAGAGCTCCCTACATACCTTGATGTAGCATGTCCCTGCTCCCTTCTGTACCAGGGACAGAGCTCACTACATACCTTGATGTACCATGTCCCCGCTCCCGTCTGTACCAGGGACAGAGCTCCCTACCCACCTTGATGTACCATGTCCCCGCTCCCGTCTGTACAATGGACAGAGCTCCCTACACACCTTGATGTACCATGTCCCCGCTCCCGTCTATACCAGGGACAGAGCCCCCTACATACCTTGATGTACCATGTCCCCGCTCCCGTCTGAACCAGGGACAGAGCTCCCCGCCTACCTTGATGTACCATGCCCCTGCTCCCATCTGTACCAGGGACAGAGCTCCCTGGCTAACTTGATGTACCATGTCCCCGCTCCCGTCTATACCAGGGACAGAGCTCCCTACATACCTTGATGTACCATGTCCTCGCTCCCGTCTGTACCAGGGACAGAGCTCCCCGCCTACCTTGATGTAGCATGTCCCCGCTCCCGTCTGTACCATGGACAGAGATCCCTACACACCTTGATGTACCAAGTCCCTGCTCCCGTCTGTACCAGGGACAGATCTCCCCGCCTACCTTGATGTACCATGTCCTCGCTCCCGTCTGTACCAGGGACAGAGCTCCCCGCCTACCTTGATGTACCATGTCCCCGCTCCCGTCTGTACCAGGGACAGAGCTCCCCGCCTACCTTGATGTACCATGTCCCTACTCCCGTCTGTACCAGGGACAGAGCTCACTACATACCTTGATGTACCATGTCCCTGCTCCCGTCTGTACAATGGACAGAGCTCCCTACATACCTTGATGTACCATGTCCCCGCTCCCGTATGTACCAGGGACAGAGCTCCCTACCCACCTTGATGTACAATGTCCCCGCCAGCGTCTGTACCATGGACAGAGCTCCCTACACACCTTGATGTACCATGTCCCTGCTTCCATCTGTACCAGGGACAGAGCTCCCCGCCTACCTTGATGTACCATGCCCCTGCTCCCATCTGTACCAGGGACAGAGCTCCCTGCCTAACTTGATGTACCATGTCCCCGCTCCCGTCTATACCAGGGACAGAGCTCCCTACATACCTTGATGTACCATGTCCTCGCTCCCGTCTGTACCAGGGACAGAGCTCCCCGCCTACCTTGATGTAGCATGTCCCCGCTCCCGTCTGTACCATGGGCAGAGCTCCCTACACACCTTGATGTACCAAGTCCCCGCTCCCGTCTGTACCAGGGACAGAGCTCCCCGCCTACCTTGATGTAGCATGTCCCCGCTCCCGTCTGTACCATGGACAGAGATCCCTACATACCTTGATGTACCAAGTCCCTGCTCCCGTCTGTACCAGGGACAGATCTCCCCGCCTACCTTGATGTACCATGTCCTCGCTCCCGTCTGTACCAGGGACAGAGCTCCCCGCCTACCTTGATGTACCATGTCCCCGCTCCCGTCTGTACCAGGGACAGAGCTCACTACATACCTTGATGTACCATGTCCCTACTCCCGTCTGTACCAGGGACAGAGCTCACTACATACCTTGATGTACCATGTCCCTGCTCCCGTCTGTACAATGGACAGAGCTCCCTACATACCTTGATGTACCATGTCCCCGCTCCCGTATGTACCAGGGACAGAGCTCCCTACCCACCTTGATGTACCATGTCCCTGCTTCCATCTGTACCAGGGACAGAGATCCCCGCCTACCTTGATGTACCATGTCCCCGCTCCAGTCTATACCAGGGACAGAGCTCCCTACATACCTTGATGCACCATGTCCCTGCTCCCGTCTGTACCAGGGACAGAGCTCCCCGCCTACCTTGATGTACCATGTCCCCGCTCCCGTATGTACCAGGGATAGAGCTCCCTACACACCTTGATGTACCAAGTCCCTGCTCCCATCTGTACCAGGGACAGAGCTCCGCGCCTACCTTGATGTACCATGTCCCCGTTCCCGTCTGTACCAGGGACAGAGCTCCTCGAGTATCTTGATGTACCATGTCCCCGCTCCCGTCTGTACCAGGGACAGAGCTCCCCGCCTACCTTGATGTACCATGTCCCCGCTCCCGTCTGTACCAGGGACAGAGCTCCCTACATACCTTGATGTCCCATTTCCCCGCACCCGTCTTGTACAACGGCCAGAGCTGCTCGCCTTCATATGCCGCCCGCCCCTCCTGTTTGTGAAGGGGCCAAAGAAGAGTCCTACCTACCTTGACGCACCGTCTCTCCAGAACCATTCTTCACAGGGGTCAGAGCACCCTCTTCAATCTTCCACCAGGTCAGCTCTGGTCGAGGGTCACCGGTGAAGGTCGCCTCCAATCTGGCCGTTTGACCTTTCGAAGTTCTCAAGGTCGGAGTGAAGGATGCGCCGTCTTTTCTTTTCGGACCAGCTATAAAATATTAGCGACAAAAGCTTGCTCCCTAATCATAAGTAATATATATTGAACGCAATGTCCAATGTATGATTCCGACTTTATCATAAACATGTGTTTATGAATAACTATCAAATAGCGATGGTACCGGGCATCAGTTATCCTGTCTGTGACGCCCGTCACAAACACATGCAAAGGCAAGTCAAATTGCATTTTGGTCACTGGCGCGTTGAATTAAAAAATGCCCTCCACATTTCCACCATGGAAACTCTTGAAGGCAAAGGCCTTAACTGCCGTAATGCCTATCAAACAACTTTTGAGCAAGAGTCGTATGACACTCTCTGATGTGTGTTAGATATTTTCTATCGGCCATACCGTGATATGTTCACACATATAAACCGAGTGATGGCTGTACGAAATTTATATAAACTCCAAGAAATGAGTGAGTGAGTGAGTTGGGTTTAACGCCGCTTTTAACAGTATTCCAGTCATATCACGGCGTGTCAGCTTAATGTGGGAGGAAAGCCCGAAGTGATGCAGGTCTCAGACGTTTACTACTTCGGTGAAACCCACGAGCACGGGTATGGTTCTGAAAAACCTAGAAACATAATTGGGGCGAACCGGGATTCGAACCAACAATCATCTATAGCTTCTGGCTTGCCCAAGAGACGCAACTCTGCACAGCGAATCGCGGCGCCTTAGACGACTGGGCCACCCGCACCCCCTCCACGAAATGATGTTGGGTGGTAATATTACATTTTATAACACAGTGAGTGAGTTTGTGGGTATGGTTTTATGCCGCTTTTATCAATCTTCCAGCAATATCACGGCGGGGGACTTAAGAAATGAGCTTCACACATTGTACCCATGTGGGGAATCGAACCCGGGTCTTTGGCGCGACGAGCGAACGCTTAAACCACTATGCTACCCGACTGCCCATAGTGAAGAAATAGTGTACGGTTTTCAAGATCTGCTCCGGAAACAAGCACTACCGCCATTTTCAGTCAAAGTCATAGTTTTGCTGTCGAAACGCGAAAATATTGCTTTGAAACAAACCCAGACTATCAAAAGGCACCAGTTCACCACTGGACCTATCTATGTGCCTAGTTTTGTTAAATATATCTCGTGGTTTTTTAGTTCTACTCCGGAAACGAAACGTGACGGACAGACGGACGGAATGACGTACGGACGGACAGCACCCATTTCTATATCCCCCTTCCACTTCGGTGCGGGGGATTATAATATATCGAGTGAAGATGATGATGATAACAGCAACAACAACAACAACAACAACAATAACAACAATAACAACAATAATATATCGAGTGAAGATGATGATTTTAACACCAACAGCAACAACAACAATAATATAATATATCGAGTGAAGATGATGATGATAACAGCAACAACAGCAACAACAACAACAACAACAACAACTACAATAATATAATATATCGAGTGAAGATGATGATGATAACAGCAACAACAGCAACAACAACAACAACAACAACAACAACAACTACAATAATATAATATATCGAGTGAAGATGATGATGATAACAGCAACAACAACAACAACAATAATATAATATATCGAGTGAAGAAGATGATTTTAACACCAACAGCAACAACAATAACAACAATAATATATCGAGTGAAGATGATGATGATAACAACAACAACAGCAACAACAACAACAACAACAACAACAACAACAACATATCGAGTGACCAATCTCCGAGAAAAGAGTTTTCAGATAATATATTGCAGCGGAGGCCAACGTCTGAGACGTATCTTGGACCCCGATATGACAGAGCATGTACGTGACACAAGGGTCTGATTCATAAACATTTGGACAGACTACGTTGGCCAGGTGGTCTCTTTTTAAACGATATCTGTGACAGAATAGGTTACACGTTTTTAACATTTTTCGTAATACCAAAGTATTATGAGGATACGGGTCCCAAGGTGAAACGGAGTCACGTCCGGTTAAAAAAAATACCCGAATATAAAATGATCTATCTTCTAGGAAAGTCAAAGCCCTCTTCAGGGACCCGTTCCACAAAGCGATCTTAGCGCTAATGTGGTCGTAACACCCATGCTTAGTGGGCCTACGATAGTCGAATTGATAAAATTGCTTTGATAACATTCGAAATTTGGCAATTACGTGATAACGTGATGTTAACATATGTCCTTCGGCAGGGGAACTGATTTTGCAGCCGGGGAAGCTATTAATGCTATCTCTGTGTATTCAAACTTGACAGATGGATTTGTAAAATGAGGTTAGTTTCCTACGTTTAATGCCTGAAATCGACACCAGTTGAAAGAGTGTTGATGATGTGGTGAACTGATTATAACTGTATCGCGGCCGTGCAAACATTTCTGTGCTGTTGCTATGGTTTGACATACACCCTGATTGATATACAGTATACCATGGTTATGAATGACCACCAATTTTAGTTCGTAATAACCGTAGTTCGTTATAAGCATATATACACCATATATACAAGAAATAGCCGGGACTAAACAATAAGTTCGTTATATCGGTAAGTCCGATATAAGCGTGTTCGTTATAAACGTAGTTTGCTGTACTGTGTAAATTTGGAATATTTCCTCATAAAGGGCGGTTGACAATGAGATGCTTGTGTGTTAACTGAAATCGCAATAAAACTGTCAGTGATATTTCGGAGTGTCGTACACACTATACAGTGACACGTCGTGTATGCATTACCCCAAAGGTGAGGTGAAATGGGGTTTAACGTCGCGTCGAAGATTATTGCACTTATATAGCGACGTGCATGCACGTGTATATGTGTGTGTTGCTGCTTGTACTAGTCCGGACTGATGCCGATTTATAGTGCTAGGACACTGAGATACCATGCCGCAGTTTAACATGAATACCCCACTCAGACACAGTATACTGACTCCGAGCCGACCAGTCCTTGTTTTAGCTCCTTAATGCCGAGCGCCAGACAGGGTAACAACAAGTACCATCTTTTAACGTCTTTTGGTTTGAGGCGGCTGGGGATCGAACCCCGGACCTTCCGCTCTCCGGGCGGACGCTCTACCATTAGACCACGAAGGCGGTCTCTACCCCTAAGGGAGAGGATGTGGCATGCACAAAGTAATGTATAGTTTAACGCCGCTTTGAACACTATTTACGTTATATCACGACGTGTCAGCCTAGCTGGGGGTGGAAGGAAAGGAAGGCCGTAGAAGTGCTCCATTTGGTCAACCCACGAGCAATGGTGCTGCGCTTACACGCTAGGGTTCGGGGGCGGTCGGGTAGCCTAGTCGTTAAAGCGCTCGCTCGTCACGCCGAAGACTCGGGTTCGAATCCCGACATGGGTACAATGTGTGAAGCCCATTTCTGGTGTCCCCCGCCGTGATATTGCTGGAATATTGCTAAAAGCGGCGTAAAACCAAACTCACTCACGCACTCACTAGGGTTCATAGCCAGGGAAAACTTAGTTTCAAACCAAAGATCCTGGAACATATAAAGGACGCAACTCCGCAAAGCGATATTTGATATTGATATTGGCAACAATAATATAAGGGTCACGACTGCCGTCAGATTGTAGCCTGTCTTACAGACCCTGATACAAATATATCAAATACAGCTCATCCAAGTATATAATGTTCTATGGGCTACTTTGTAATATTTTTTTATTACGATAATTCAACAACAGTTACTGTTTTTTCTCTGTACGATATATACTACATGATAGTCTAGTCAGATTGCGGTCTTTTTTGTGATAGTCACGTGAATGAGTGAAACTAGTTCCCATATGAATTCATACCAATGACAGTCGACATGAAATACGGGATTGAGGTTGGCCGGGTGCATATTGCGATACCCATAGACGGTATTTAGGTTATCATAATAAAACCTATGTTATCGCAAACACAGAGCGAATGAGAGAAGGCATAATATACAAGTTAGCAGCCTTGCTATGGCAGCAGGAAACATAAACGCCTAGTTGACCAGGAAAAAGCAGAGGAGTATAAATAAACACCTTTTCAAAACATACTTAAAACCTGAATAAGCTACGTACATGCTGTAAAAAATGCACTCGGTGTTTTGGGTTACTTAGAAACTGTTCAGGCCTGATAAATAATGCTTTATCGCGCCTAAACACGACTCCATAAGTATCACGCGGAAAGGAATGAGAGGTGGTTTTACCGCCTAAGGCGGGATTCACACAATGCCTAGACAAACATCTAGTGTCTGAAGTGAACATATTACAGAAAGAAAATCTGTAAAATTATCTTAATAAAAATATTACAAAAAGGAGCCGAGACACTCTCTTTATTTTCAATAATCTAGACTTGCCAAACATAGACTTGCATGGGCTATATTATATATTTGTATTAGACTAAATATGCCTGTCTATTAAGTGCGATGCATAACGAACTCTATCATGCCTCCATGTCAGAATAAGACCGCCTCCGTGGTCTAGTGGTAGAGCGTCCGCCCGGAGAGCGGAAGGTCCGGGGTTCGATCCCCGACTGCGTCATATCAAAAGACGTTAAAAGATGGTACTTGTTGTTACCCTGTCTGGCGCTCGGCATTAAAGGGCTAAAACAAGGACTGGTCGGCTCGGAGTCAGTATACTGTGTCTAAGTGGGGTATTTATGTTAAACTGCGGCATGGTATCTCAGTGAGCTAGCACTATAAATCGGCATCAGTCCGGTCTAGTACAAGCAGCCACACAAACATACTCACACGTGCATGCACGTCGCTATATAAGTGCAATAGTCTTGGACGCGACGTTAAACCCCATTTCACCTCACCTCACCTCACCAGAATGATTAGATATGATTGTTCAGACGTGATCTTGATAAAATAATATGTAATAATCTCTCGCTAATTATATCTCTTATACCCCGCAACGATCAGTACAGGCTTCACGTGGATTTCTGAGAGGCAGAATATATCCCCCGCTTCAAAGTAAAAAACCGCACGCTTTTTCCGAGTCAATGAAAGTCACGTGACATAGCACAAATTAACCTCAGCTCAATGGAACAGCTGTTTTCTATCAATTTTTAATTTGTGTTAATTTATTTACAATGTCACATTAAATCATGTAGGTAAGTTGAATTTGTTGCAGCACTATTTACGTTATATGACCTCCTGCTCGTGGTATAAAATCTAAAAACCCAATGTACCCCTCGTGATCCTGCTACAAGTTATCGTGATTTCCAAAACACACCGAATCCATTGTCGCATATATTTATTGTGAATGTCACATAAAACAATATTATATAAGGACATGGCTCCATTATGACAGGCTCCGCCATCATGCATGATAGCGGAACTTCAAATTAAGACAAGAGATATTATTGGATGAAATGATCGTGGATGTGGAGGTACTGGTGGACTGCAGCAATGAGCTTAACCCCAACTGCAGCAACCGCTGCCCTGCAACAACCGTTGCCAAGCAACCCATGTTGTTGCTTACCGATGCAGCGCCTGCTGCCCTGCAACTATCGTTGCCAAGCAACCCATGTTGCTTACCAATGCAGAACCCGCTGCCCTGCAACTACCGTTGCCAAGCAACCCATGTTGCTATGCAGCTATCGCTGCCAGGCAAGTACCATTGCCAAACCATGAGCGAGGGCAACTATTGTTGCCAAGCTGACCATCCGCTGTAAAGCGGACACTAAGCCATCTGCTGTAAAGCAGAATGGATAAATTGGTTCCTGCTGTAAAGCGGGCAACCCTATCCTAAATAATTTATAATTTGGGATGTATCCCAAGACGCCAAATGTAACTTGTAATGCAGTCCACCAGCACTCCGCCACAAGCACTATTAAAAATTCTGAAGGATGTTGGTTTGTTGTTTAACGACGCTCTCAGCAATATTCCAGGTATATGACGGCAGTCTGTAAATAATCGAGCCTGGACCAGAAAATCCAGTGATTAGTATCATGAGCATCGATCCACGCAACTGGGATCGATGACATGAATCAACCAAGTCAGCGAGCCTGACCACCCGATCCCGTTAGTCGCCAAGCATAGTCGTCTTTTACGGCAAGCATAGTCTGAAGGGTGTAATGCGATCAATCTCTAATCAATACATCCTTCAGATTGTTATTTATTTGATAAGCCACAATTTCATGCTTGTCAACAACGATATTAGTCAACACTTCCTGATAGGCGATACCGTTCTTGATAATTGTTTTAGTGCAAAAACTGCTTTAACGTTGTCAAGTGCAGTTTGCGAAATCTTAGCCATTGTTGACAAAGGTTACTGCGAAAACAAAATTGAGTGAACCCATGCCGGCATTTTGCAGTTCAGTGGTTAGAGACTATGGTGGCCGAGAGGGGACATCGCTTTATCGATTTTAAATACGGCTGCGATATTGCGATGAAACGATAACACGAGACGAGAAAGCGATAACACGAGACTCTGGTATCGCCTTCTCGTCTCGTGCTTTGTCTCGTGCTATCGCGTTCTCGTCGTACGATTCCGACTCGTAATCATAAGCATGTGTTTTTAATACCCACCGGCGTCTGCACAAGTAAAATATAAGTGTACTCACTCTGAACAAGAAGGAACGCGGAGATGTCGCTGGCTTTGTTAGATGAGGGGTTGACGGCTGTGCAGGTGTAGTTACTGCTGTCGTCGCCCACCAACCCCTTCAGTGCCAGGACTTGACCCCGACTACCCCTGGCCCGACTGGTCAGGTCCTGTCCGTCCTTGGTCCAGCTGTAACGACAGTCGGGGAGACAGTTGGCGGAGCAGGTCAGGTTGACACTACCTCCCTCCTTTGTCTGGGGTTCTGTCTTGTCCAATTGCATCTGTGTTGGACCCTCGGAGTCTGGGGGGAGAAAAACAGTTACTTATCTAACTCATTGAACAAGACTTAGTAATCAACGTATTGGGTTATTGGATCCCTCTTTGATAATAAGATGACAACAATCCTTCGATAAATAGAAGCGACAAAAGTCATTTCCAGATCCACAATGCAAGAAACCTCTGCTGAAAGCAGAGCCCATTGTACGATTGAGTGAGTGAGTTGGGTTTTTAACGCCGCTTTTAACAGTATTCCAGTTATATCACGACGTGTCAGCTTAATGTGGGAGGAAAGCCCAAAGTGATGCAGGTCACAGACGTTAACCACTTCGGTGAAACCCACGAGCACGAGTATGGTGCTGACAAACCTAGCAACATAATCGGGTCCAACCGGGATTCGAACCCACAATCATAGGTTTCTGGCGCGCCCAATGGACGCAACTCTGCACAGCGAATCGCGGCGCCTTAGACAACTGGGCCACCCGTGCCCCCTTGTCAGCAAAGGAAAGGCATGAAGATATGAGAAATACCCGTCAAGGCCAGAAACAGATCCCTTCGAGCGCAATGGATAAACTAGCGGCGAAAATTATGTGGGTCACTGAAAATCAGTGTTGACACCAGGTGTTCGCGAAAAGGGTAAGCATGACCTGCCCTACTGGTAGCACCCGCCACTAACACAACCAGCCATGCGACGGCGGCCTGTAAACTAATCAGTCAATCAAGCCATCCATGTACCAGAGAAACAAGCGACACGGTAGCGCACTGACCGACCTTGTCGAAATAGAAAGATGTTAATTTTGAAGCACGTCCGCCTATACGTTCGTCTTGTACCCATTCGGATGACTGCCCTTCGAATTAAACGGTTAAAAAATAGGCTGCTGAATTGAAGCGGAATTGAGTCAGAGGGGGGTATGTTTTAGTGAACTTCATAAGGGGCCCCATAATGCATGGAGGGAGGTGGCTGACGTCTTACATATCACTGACTTGACAAGCACTGACGCCTCTTTCACACTTGGGCCCACTGAGATATAGCATTCGTATCCTGAATGTATTTGCACCTGCTTGTTACTTTAGTGTGTAATAACATCCCTTGGCTTTTTTTCATACCAAGCCCAAGATCTGCACATGCCGTGTAGGTACCCAGGAAGTGACACATTTAAAGAACAATGACAATAATTGCCATCCTTGTGTGACACAGAAGATGACTCGAGGGTTGAGCATCCTAATGATGCAACTTCTGAATCCAAGTGGAAGCTGTCCATCGCGTGGATGTGACAGACCTTGGCTCAATCGCTGACACTATTGGTATTAGTTGCGATCAGTCCAGATTATCCTGATACCAGAATGTTGACACCAGAGGCCTCGACTGAATATATCAAGGGACCTCTCAACCATCTTTTTGCAGAATCCTGATTAACGTTGGAAGCGAATTGTGTCCAGTATGAGATCTTGGTCCATCACTTTGAGCCAAAACGTCAGAGCAAACAGTGAAAACATTTGTCCTCGCCCGAACAAAGCATCCCAAAGGGTAGAGTCATTTGGCAAAGTCATGGCTTTTGGTTTGTGGAACAGTAAGGGAAGGAGTATTGGCAACGAGGTCAGGCCATCGACGGGCAATACTATAACACAGAACTGCATAAATCGAGAGAAGCTATGAAAGAAACACATCGGGGAATTTCTGTGCTGTTTCATGCGTGGCGAGGCATGGGTGGCCCAGTCGTCTGAGGCGCCGCGATTCGCTGTGCAGAGTTGCGTCCCTTGGGCACGCCAGAAACCAATGATCGTGGTTTCGAATCCCGGTTCGCCACGATTATTTCTAGGTTTGTCAGCACCATACCCGTGCTCGTGGGTTTCATCGAAGTGGTTAACGTCTGAGACCTGCATCGCTTGGGGCTTTCCTCCCACATTAAGCTGACACGCCGCAATATAACTGGAATACTGTTAAACGGGCGTTAAACCCAACTCACTCACACTCAATTCAGGCGTGGCAAATAACAGTGGCAGCAGCCTTGACATGCCCATGCCATACACGCTCCAGACCTAGCTCCCTCTGACTTATAACCCTAAAGACAAACCACAGAGTAGAGGAATGTTGCTGTCGAGGACTTTTAACGCTAGTTAATGTTAGACCAAGTATAGGTTCATATTTACCCGTCAGCTTAATGTTGATGGTGTTGCTAAACGCTTGATATTCACATTTCCAGCTTCCTTCAACATCGTCGTGTAAGGAGGTGGCGTTGAGGATGTAGACGTAGTTGCCGTCACTCTGCCGTCCACACCCACACGTGTACTGTGTCTGGGAGCGATGGTCGGAGGTGTATTGGGTACAATCATCTCTCTTCACCGAACACTTGACATATGTGTTCCTTTGGAAGAGCAAGGCTCCCGTTGTGCCTGCCGTCGTCAGGGCACACTTGAATTGCAACGATAGTCCCAAGAAAGCTTGAGGTGACGTCTGGGTCAAGTTCAGGGCTGCACCTGAATCAAGATTGTTGAAGAAGGTTGTTGAAAGTACAATCTTTGATTATTTGAGAGAGATTGAGAGAGATATTTAGAGAGGTAGAGAGGGAGGGAGAGAGAGAGAGAGAGAGGGGGTGGAGAGCGATAGAGAGGGAGGGAGAGAGAGAGGAGAGATAGAGAGGGAGGGGGAGAGAGAGAGAGGGGGTGGAGAGCGATAGAGAGGGAGGGAGAGAGAGAGGAGAGATAGAGAGGGAGGGGGAGAGAGATAGAGAGGGAGGGGGAGAGGGGGTGGAGAGAGATAGAGAGGGAGGGGAGAGAGATTGAGAGATATATTTAGAGAGAGAGGGGGGAGGGAGAGATAGAGAGAGGGGGAGAGATAGAGAGGGAGGGGAGAGAGATAGGGAGAGGTAGAGAGGGAGGGGGAGAGAGATAGAGAAGGAGAGAGGGGTGGAGAGAGATAGAGGGAGGGAGTGAGAGAGGAGAGATAGAGAGGGAGGGGGAGAGAGAGAGAGGGGGGTGGAGAGCGATAGAGAGGGAGGGAGAGGGAGGGGGAGAGAGATAGAGAGGGAGGGGGAGAGAGATAGAGAGGGAGGGGGAGAGGGGGTGGAGAGAGATAGAGAGGGAGGGGAGAGAGATTGAGAGAGATATTAGAGAGAGAGAGGGGGAGGGAGAGATAGAGAGAGGGGGAGAGATAGAGAGGGAGGGGAGAGAGATAGGGAGAGGTAGAGAGGGAGGGGGAGAGAGATAGAGAAGGAGAGAGGGGTGGAGAGAGATAGAGGGAGGGAGTGAGAGAGGAGAGATAGAGAGGGAGGGGGAGAGAGAGATAGAGAGGGAGGGGGAGAGGGGGTGGAGAGAGATAGAGAGGGAGGGAGAGAGGGAGGGGAGATAGAGGGAGAGAGAAAGATAGAGGGAGTGGGAGAGAGAAGAGAGAGAGAGTTTTTCATTTCGCGACGTTTCAATCTAGCTTCTTAAACCGTTAACAAGCTGTAGTAAGTACACCAAATTGATGAGAATGAGCGGCAGATTGACATTAACAACATGAGGTAATAGGTACCAAATAACGCACAGATAAATGGACGAACACGGATGTACAATACGAATAACACACATCACACGGCCATGTATATACAAAGCTGTAGACAAACCCACAGACAGACGGTGCAAACTGGAAAGTAGTCCGGCAAACATTCACAGTAGTGTGGTGCGACATGGTCCAACATGGACCGACATGGTCCAACATGGACCGACTTGGACCAGTATGGACCGACATGGACCAACACTGACCAACTTGGATGATCAAGGCCGGCATTGAATTAATCTGGCACACGCCATTCGATATAACTCCGAATAGTGCAAAACCAAAACCAAAAATATCAAAATATAATCTGTAGATCCCTACGAAAGGCTATCCATGTAAGCTTGGGAAACACGAAGCACGCTTAAAATAGACAGTTTGCTGCCCGTGCGAGATGGCAGTGCCCTCAATGAAAGCTTTATGTATATATACTTACCAGCAACAGCGCCCATCTGAACCCAGACCAAAAACAGTGCCACTGCCGAAGTCATCTCGTCCCTGGCAACTGAACACCGCTGTCATATGAACGTTAGCTTGCACAGATTGCACGACCACGTAGGCTGTTCACTGAGTGGCTACGGCTTTTCCAGGAAGTATATTGTCTTTTAGGCTTGCAATCTATATTTGTAAAACATGTACAACATAAGTATTTTCCTCATATTCAGTAATAATATTTGTCAAAACGTATACACATTGATAATATAGTACTACAGAAGTAGCGTACGGATACAAACCTGTCGAACCTCGTTTTGTCGAACTCGTGGGGCCCTGGAAAAAAGTTCGAGTTATCCGGGTTATCCAGAACGAACGTTATAGGTCTTATCGGTCTTCACTGCGTATGATATAAAAAGTAAGCCTTTAGACATGGCGGTCCCATTCATCACGCACTGGGTCTTACATACTTTTCGAGATGGATTTTACAGTATCGTGCGGAGGATTTAACTGGTTTGGCGTGTAACTGGAGAGATCCCAGCAGTTTGAAATAGTTTCCCAAATATTCTGAGGACTTGTATATATATTAGGGAAAAATGGATGTCTTGAATCAGTGACAGAAAACATATTCTGCCGCTAATACATATTCTGAGATCCCCACACAGACGAGCCCAAATGTAGGGTTCACATTATATTGTATCTGTTGGCCGTTAATTCAATAGTGGCCTGATTTGTACCACATTTTGTTATAACACCTTACTATAACTCATAAAGACTTAGGGAGGCAACACTCCACGCCTACAACGACTTGGCAACGCCCACCCCCACCCGCGCTCCGTGTGCCCCTGAAGAAATATGTCATCAATCAGAATAGTCTATGCTGTCTATAGTGATTTGTTTCATGACCCTTCTCCAGACGCTTGATCATCACCCTGCCACTGGCTTGTGGCCATACAATCTGGTGATTGACCCTACTTTGATCCGTACCAGACATAATATGCACAGTCAACAGTAAACATCATTGGTCACTGCCATTTCCTTTGTGTGATATTTGTATTCAATGAATCTGGATCGGTAAACAAGCGAAAATGCTTGTGTTAATAACTCTCCAGACCAAGTTATATTCACGAAGGCATTAAACAAAACAATACATGATAATAAACTAAATACGTTAACAAGAGCAAGTGGTCATGGACAACAGTTTGGTGTAAAGAGTAGAAGATTTTTATATTTTCGGGATTTACACTCTCACGTTAGTATGAACCTTTTGAAATGAAGTATGCATGAATGTACCGATTTTAAGATATCTAGATTAGTAATTTTTGTAAAATTAGCATTACCGTTCAATATAGTTAAGATCAACTCCCTCAGAGTAGAAGAATGAATCATGTCTTACATCATCATAAAAGGGACAGGAAAAGAAATAGTCCTTTGTGTAACGACATTAAAACAATAGTCATTCATTAATCGAAACGTTTTATTGAAGGAAACATGAACCTCGTGTGGTTCTATAGAGATAAGGTGAAGGTCATGTATTTCTCAGAAGGAAACATAGAGGTAAGGTGAATACCTCGTGTGGTTCTATAGAGGTAAGGTGAATATCGCGTATTTCTCCGAAGGAAACATGAGGTGAGGTGAGGTGAAATTGGGTTTAACGTCGCGTCCAAGATTATTGCACTTATATAACGACGTGCATGCACGTGTATGTGTGTGTGTGGCTGCTTGTACTAGTCCGGACTGATGCCGATTTATAGTGCTAGCTCACTGAGAAACCATGCCGCAGTTTAACATGAATACCCCACTCAGACACAGTATACTGACTCCGAGCCGACCAGTCCTTGTTTTAGCCCCTTAATGCCGAGCGCCAGACAGGGTAACAACAAGTACAATCTTTTAACGTCTTTTTGTATGACGCGGCCCGGGATCGAACCCTGGACCTTCCGCTCCGGGCGGACGCTCGAACACAAGACCACGGAGGCGGTCCTGTGAAAGAAACCCGAGCTTCATGTAGTTGTAGCGATGGTTAACGTCATATGATTATATGAAGAAACAATGAACACCATGTGATTCTGTAGCAAAAACAAGAACGTCACGTAGTTTTCGACATCGGAAACGTCATATGGTTCTATGAAGGAAACATGAACGTCACGTGGTTCTGTGAAGGAAACATGAACGTCACGTATTTGTCGGCATCGGGAACGTCACGTGGTGCTATGAAGGAAACATGAACGTCACGTATTTGTCGGCATCGGGAACGTCACGTGGTACTATGAAGGAAACATGAACGTCACATGGATCAATGAAGGAAACATGAACGTCACGTAGTACTATGAAGGAAACATGAACGTCACGTATTTGTCGGCGTCGGGAACGTCACGTGGTACTATGAAGGAAACATGAACGTCATGTATTTGTCGGCGTCGGGAACGTCACGTGGTACTATGAAGGTGAACGTCATGTATTTGTCGGCATCGGGAACGTCACGTGGTACTATGAAGGAAACATGAACGTCACGTATTTGTCGGCGTTGGGAACGTCACGTGGTTCTGTGAAGGAAACATGAACGTCACGTATTTGTCGGCGTCGGGAACGTCTCGTGGTACTATGAAGGAAACATGAACGTCACGGAGTTGTCGGCGTCGGGAACGTCACGAGGTACTATGAAGGAAACATGAACGTCACGTAGTTGTCGGCGTCGGGAACGTCACGTGGTTCTGTGAAGGAAACATGAACGTCACATGGATCAATGAAGGAAACATGAACGTCACGTGGTTCTGTGAAGGAAACATGAACGTCACGTATTTGTCGGCATCGGGAACGTCACGTGGTACTATGAAGGAAACATGAACGTCACGTAGTTGTCGGCATCGGGAACGTCACGTGGTACTATGAAGGAAACATGAACGTCACATGGATCAATGAAGGAAACATGAACGTCACAAAGAATTGCTATAATATCTATATCATACTCATCACAAAAAGTTAAAAGGTTTACAGTTACTTTTCATAAATCGATATGGACATATGTATTTAAGCTGACATTGACTTCCATACATTTAATTTACAGACCAATGGTTAGGCGCCGAGTGAGGCAGCACATGGCAGTGTAAAACTGACCCTTCCGTTTCTCGGTTATGGTAAATGTCACTTATGAGACTACTGTCTGTCATGTAATGGATAGTGTTATCGATGAGATACACCAAACCAATAAACTTTGTATCACGATTCGATAAATATGCAAATGAGGTCAACTAGACTACTTCCTCAAAAGACACGTGAAGATCCGGGTTAGAATAGCTCTTCAGCAACCCATGCATGTCGTAAAAGGCGACTAACGGGATCGGATGGTCAGGCTTGCTGACTTGGCTGATGTATGTTATCGTAGATCGATGCTCATGATGTCAATCACTGGACTGTCACTTAACTCAAATATACACGAAACGTCAAACCCAGGGAATAACGTTTTCCGCCGCAACAGATTCCACTGGGCCTAAAAGTGAGTATGTCAGTGAGTTGGGTTTAACGCCGCTTTTAACAGTATTCCAGTTATGTCGCGGCGTGTCAGCTTAATGTGGGAGGGAAGCCCGAAGTGATGCAGGTCTTAGACGTTTACCACTTCGGTGAAACCCACGAGCACGGGTATGGTGCTGACAAACCTAGAAACATAATAGGGGCGAACCGGGATTCGAACCCACAATCATAGGTTTCTGGCGCACCCAAGGGACGCAACTCTGCACAACGAATCGCGGCGCCTTAGACGACTGGGCCGTCCGTGCCCCCTCTCCCAAAATAAGGTGTATAGAATATGTCTGATTTACATATCTAGTACGGGTGGATAATGTTCTCCTGGTAAGCCAGGATAAGTTGAGTTGTGACCTGACAATTTACCCCGTATGATTATGCACGAGGTCCGCCAACTGGCGCGTACCAAGCCGTGAAGATCCGGGCGACTTTGCTTGTCGTAAGGGTCGACTAACGGTATCGGGTGGTCAGGCTCACTGACTTGGCTGATGCATGTCATCGTATCCCAATTGCGTGGATCGATGCTCATGATATTAATCACTGGACTGTCTGGTCCAGACTCGATTATTTACAGACCGCAGTCGTATAGCTGGAATATTGCTGAGTGCGGCGTTAAACAACCAACCAACCAACCAACTGGCGCGTACCATTGTGAAGAAAGAGGTAGCGGGTGGTCCGCAACAAGTAGGACGATGTTTATATGTGTGTGTCCTGTCTCGGTTAACAAGTTCTAGAGTTGTTAACGAGTTCAATAGCACATATTATAGCTAAAATGGATATAATTATCATTAACCCTCTGGATGCCGAGTTTTTTTTCTGACGCACATTTTCCTCAGATCGGAAAAGTGAAGGTTGTGCGAGAATTGCGCTCACGCGGCACTGGATCTGTCTCTGGCTATAAAATTACGCAGAGGTGGAGAATATTAAATTTCTTCTTTGATAGTCTAAATTTAACTGTAAATATCAAACCGGTTTTTAAAAAAGACACTCCTAAGTGTTGTCCGAGAATTTATTCTGCGTTGAAAAACATGAAATTTCTCCGCTTTTTATCGTACACCGATAAAAGTACTGTGCGACAATTTTTTTTATTAAGAAGCTTTACGGAAACTGTGAGCGAACAAAATACTGCCTAATATCTGAACGACATAACTACATATCAAATGGAGTTATATGCGTATGTATAACGACATACATTCAATTCCAAAAATAGCATGCCGTAAATGACGAAAACAGATTTTTCTCTATGACGTCAAAAGGTGACAGAGAGGTTACACACGTACAAAGAAAAGGGGGCATAACTCCGCTATGCTTAGCTCTAGTTTGTTGTAACTCAGGTCACTTGGTGAGAATTAGCTGTGGGTAAGGACAATATATTTTCGTGGTGTTTTGTTCAGGAGGAACCAAACTATTCCAACACAAATATCCATATTGAAACTGTACACGTTTAGTTATAAAATATACCCATAAGAAATGATGAAATCGTACTTCATAAAAAGGAGGTAATAGAGAAATGGATGGCCCTATCTAACCTATAACTTAGTCCTTAGCTTCCAACATTCTCCTGATTTTTTAAGTGTAATTTGACTAATGTTGCATCATTATTAATGGAGCACAAGCCTTATCATCAAATGTAATGAAATACCCTAAAAATGACACGATTCCTTTTGACGTCATGGCTGGTTTTATGTCTTTGATAACGTCGGAAAAAGACGACACTGGTATTTTGATTAATATATATCTCCCCTAATTTTCGTTCATGGCATGGAAAATCTCGATGTGTGGAACGGAATTTGACGCTTTTTCGACACAACATAAAATGACTGCTCTCACTAAGTAAATAATGTCTTGAATATGTAAACAATTAGGTAGTTTATCGTATATCTTAATTGGACAAGACACGCACCTGTTTGGCATCAATTTACGTAATGAAATTCCCAAAAGAATATTTCAAAACAACCAAAATTATATTCAATATTGGACATATATTTGTTCATGATTATGCTATTTTTTCTTACACAATAAAAGATGCAAAGAAAGCTCTATTGGTATAGAATTATCAGGATAATCGTATACGTTTGAACCAACGGGGTACCTGGCATGGATTTTATTTTAATACATTTTACAATTCCTGGAGAAATAAAGTAAACTGTTTACTATCCTGTGATCACAATATTGAAAAAATAATGTAACCATTGATTATTTAATGCAAAACGAGAGGAATAATTCGTAAATTGTTTGAGACTAACGCGCACCTGGCGAATCGTTAGATATCACTGTTCTCTGTCTCCAACGACATAAAAGACAAATCCAAGACCAAGACATTTCAGAAATGTGTGCATATATTTTACCGTAAAAATTTATCCATTTTGTTAAAGTAATGTATTCAGTTTTAGTTATAAAATAAAATGAAACGGCTATTCATGGACATTGGTTATATGAACTTATGATATTGACTTATTACACATCCCAAGAAATACGTACATGCTGCAGTTACATTTACACTTCATCTTGTAACACTTGTCAAAAGGAAAGAAATATCGTAGTCGACACTATAAACCTATCACATTGTTATGTAAACAATGTTCAGATTATCAAAGGTTCGTTCATACATGTTGTGGTCTATATGTACGTATGATTTCATTTTGAACATTGACAAATATCCAAAGTGAAATTAATTGTGTGAAAAAATGTATAAAAGACATGCAAAAAATACACCATAACTGAAACTGTAAACAGCATGATACAATGATCGTGTGCACTCTCATTCAAGGACCTTCACCTCAAAGAAATTACCAAATATGTACAACAATGTTGACGTATGACATCACTACCTGTGACCCACTTTTACAAAATGGCGTGTACACTTTCAACAGTACGCGGGATTGTACGAGGGGACTTTCGTTGATTCAGGGATCGTAAAAACATAAATGTGACATGTAAGTAATCAGAAACATTCTGACAATCTATGTACTGTTATTTGTTGTCATAATTTTCATTGAAACAAACGGAAATAGTCAGACATTCCGATAAATACCGTTGTCGTTGTGCGTGATTTTGCATCAGTCATGGCGTCAACCAGAACTGTAACTTTGACAACTTCTGTTGAAAATATCAAATCATTGCAATGTATCTATTTGAAATTCCCTAATTCTTCCTACGATTCTCTTCCCATGCATATTCTAAAAATGTTGAGCCAATATCTTAGACGAATGGATAGCTCAAAATAGGAGAATATGCTACACTGTGTAATATCTGAATTTTGCTTTGTTTACATTTCAACCATGTGCAGTTTTTCGAGCACAGCGTTCGTTTTCACATCTAACGTATTTTGCTTGATTTCATCTAGCCACTTTGTATTGGTGACAAAGACCACTGGTCATTTGATTCTAAAATGTATGAGGAATTCAAGGATGTAGGTATCGCAGATAAGTTTGAAATATACGTGATGTTACAGGCATCTCATAACCGGTGTACCTGAAACGTGATTTTGTAAACACTATCCAATATGGCGGAAAGTTCAATTCGGCGTTCGTGTTTTCGTTTTTTCCAAAACATTCTAAACGATTCTAGGGTTATCGGAGACGTTTTGGAATGATCATTGGTGATTTCATAAAAGACTGATACCCGTGATCACTAATATGCTATTTTTGAAATTCATTTCTCCGAGTAAATATCCGAAATTTAGATTTCAAAACATGCTGTAAATAACGCCGTGAGTGGTGATTTAGTAATGTGTAAAAAATGGCGACATTTACAATGTACCTAATTTTCAGAGGTCATGTTCAGTACTTGTGCTTGGCCTAAAATGCCAGTGGATGATATCACAGAACAGGGAATTTCCCACCTTATTCAAAACTCTAAAGTGTAGTTGTGTGGGTGATGTATTTTGAATTTTATTCGACTTCAAAGTGAGGGTTGTAGAGCAGGGACATATATGTCCCTCTGGCATCCAGGGGGTTAAACCGCCCGCACGTTATCATAAATGAGCGGGCCACTGTAATTTGATAATTCCCTCATATTGCATGACGGCGGGCCATTATCAAGCCCGTTGTTAGGTGACGTCATAGGGTAGAGAAAGTGACGTCACGTATAATAGTGACGTCATCTGGTTTGTTCTATGACGTTTCCATATTTGTAAAAGTGGGTCAGTGACATTCGTGTTGATTGCAGTAAATGTTTCAAAACCGATATTGTTGTTTCTTTTTATTTGATAAATTCCATCCATTTTAGCTATAATAACGGTAACGCTCTTTTTCAGGGCATTATCATTTGCAGAAGCCCTTGGTCTTTTCAACTGCCCTCCTTCGTCGGGCAGTTAATGGAAGACCTCGGGCTTCTGCAAATGATAATGCCCTGAAAAAGAGCGTTACCCTTATAATAGTACGCGTCGATGTGAGGTACTCGATGGCTATGAAAACGTTTGCGACACGCGAACGTGGTCAATTTCATCGTCATGACCTGCACGTGCACAACTTGCGTACACCTATCTACCTGTAAAAAAACAAATATGTTTGCCCAAATTCTGTGTACCGCCTACTTGTCTCAAGTTTTTGTGTGAGTTTTTTGTGAGTTGGTTCAACTTATCATGGAAAACCAGTAGGCATGTAACTGTACAATGACGTGTTTGTGTTTGGTTTAACTTTGGTAAACATTTTGGTTGTCAGTTGCGTGCTTTATCTGATTCAAACTTTCCCTGAGGCTGTAATTTACTTCCTCTTTACGGACAAATAATGAGCCGATATGCTTGAATACAGAAGAATGTATACCTTTAAAATACATTAATATCGAAAATGTTTTCCTAGTACGTTGCAGGGTTTGGTTTCCTTCAACAAAACTATGCTTTGTCACGTTTACTTCCCGAATCAGACAATTTACCTTTATACAAAGCTTTCGCTTTTAGTCCTGGAACTTATCATAACTTTTCGTCAATACAAGTTCGGTATTGCGTTCGTCACAACACGCCTCTTTCCGTAGCAGGCAGGAGGCTTTCGGCTTGTTCCGAACCTACCCGAACTGTTACGAATGTACCTTGAAGGTTGCTGTCACAAGGTAGGAAGATGGCGTCTGCCAGGGTCATATTAGCTGTCGTCGTTGTCGTGGCCATTACCTCTCTTCGAACTGGCACTGCAGTTGGTAAGCTTTTACGTATATGCCTACAGTAAGACTACTATTTGTTTATATGTGGATATTTAATACAATTTGATTATGGATTATTATCTAACAGCCAAACATCTTTGTATGGATAGGGGGCACGGGTGGCCCAGTCGTCTTAGGCGCCGCGATTCGCTGTGCAGAGTTGCGTCCCTTGGGCACGCCAGAAACCTATGATTGTGGGTTCGAATCCCGATTCGCCCCGATTATGTTTCTAGGTTTGTACCATACCCGTGCTCGTGGGTTTCACCGAAGTGGTAAACGTCTGAGACCTGCATCACTTCGGGCTTTCCTCCCACATTAAGCTGACACGCCGTGATATAACTGGAATACTGAAAAAGCGGCGTTAAACCCAACTCACTCCCTTTGTATATATATTCACCACATAGCGATGAGAGCGACTACATGTAGTTGTGATATAACATCTGTGTATTGCACCAGTTTTACAATCCAACACAACAACTATAGCGAGTACACCCATATCACCTAATTTTCCCGTTAAATCACCGCCCAGGGTGTCGTTCCACGTTCCAAGTGATCTTAGCCGTAAAACTGATCGTAACTCCCATACATTAACAAAGACTTACGACAGTCGTAGCGCTAAGATGGCTTTATGGAACGGGGTTCAGACCACCATATATCTGTGACCACTGGGCCACAACACCCCTCACCTAGGCCAGACGAAATAAATAGACACGGGTGCCTTCACATTGAGATATATATCTCATCTGACTGACAATCTATTCTTAAAACAGCACAGCTATACCCCAAGTTTTTTGGTTTGATTTGTTGTTTTACGCCGCACTCAGCAATATTCCAGCTATATGACGGCGGTCTGTAAATGATCGAGTCTGGACCAGACAATCCAGTGATTGATATCATGAGCATCGATCCACGCAATTGGGATCGATGACATGCATCAACCAAGTCAGCGAGCCTGACCACCCGATCCCGTTAGTCGCCTCATACAACAAGCATAGTCGCGGTTTACGGCAAGAATGGGTTGCTGAACGTAAAGTACAATGCATATCGATTTAGGAGGATGCATTGTACAGGTGTTATATAAGAGATTAATATGAACAAATGGTGTTCCAACAATATTCATGAAAAGGTATATCTGAGCAGGAAACCAAAGTATGTTTCAGTATAGGATTTCTGTTACAAGTATATATTCAGTTGTGTCACAGGTCCCGTACTGTACACAGATCACGCGCACAGATCATTGCACGGTCGTCGAACACACAGGCCCCTGGGAGTGACAAATATGAACTTGCAAATGGAGATAGCGGACTTATGTCCAGAAATTACAATTCTTTAGAGTTCGTCCCAGAAACAAACCATGTCAACAACACGTGGAGTTCAATTGACCTCACAATTGCCACCCACCACCTTGCCTCATATTGCCAATGACAAGTCCATGACACCTGGCCGTGGGGAAGAGACCATCTTCCTATACTCACCTGCATAGGGAGTCCACCACAATTAGAGGAACAGCCCAATCCTCGGCCCACATGGGGCAATGCAAAGGCTGAATGGCCCAATTTCAGAAAGGAATACATATCATTCAAATCCTTCGAAATTGCCTCGAAGATGCCAAAATCTCACCTCAGCAATTATTGCCGCAGCTGAAATATCAGTTCCAAAACTTGCAAAACGCCGATGCCCTGGTAGAACAGGGAAATAGCAAAAGCTAGCAGCGTGAGACAGAAAGATCTTAATAGGTCGAAAAGGGAAAAATCAGCCTTCGGCCAAGTCCGAGCAGCCTGGAAAAAGTAAGACAGCTCATAGACGATTCTAAAAAAGACTCATCCAAATCTCTAAAGGAAAAAGAAACAAATGCTGAAACACACTGAAGCATACGCAATCAGTGGTAAGCGTAAACCCACAAAAATTCCTAAGTTAGCCAACGCCCAAACAGTCAAAGAAAAGGCCACCATTCTAGCTGAGCACTTCTTATCTGTAAGCAGCAACCAAAATTGCAGCAAAGAGTTCAAAGAATGCCTAAAATATCAAAACAGACACAAAGCAAGCATCTAGTATACAAATACCATTTACTGATGATGCAATACAACATAGAAAAGGCACATAAAAAACCTACCTGATCAAACAAAGAGCTTACTCACTGAGTTGTACAACACGATATGGTCAAAAGGAGACGTCTCCCACTTCAAACATGTGCAAAGCTATTGAAGCCATGGTTTCAAAAAGGATAATGCATCACCGTGAAACTGGCAACCACAACAGAAGGGACAACAGTGTCTAGATCACACACCAAGACTGGAAAATGAGATAAAAAGGCTCAGTTAAACAGACAATACATAGCCGCATTCTTTCTGAACTTCAGCAAGCCTTCGACATGGTATGTCTCATTAGCATTCATGTACATGGTAATCCAGACACAGCTTGCTCTAGACAAGGTGGAGTAACAGCCTATTCCCTTCAGTAAACTAGAGATAGAAATCTCAAGCACAAAGGGGCGCAAATTAGATCGGCAGACAAAATTCAAACCAAAAAACACCAACAGCCATACTCAAATGAAAGGAAAGTCTCAATCATCAGACTCGGTCACAAAAAACACAATGACAAGGTATGCCCATCTTGCAATCAACCAATATCCATTACTTACTTGTAGAATGTCAAGACCATGCTCAAGCCATGCTCGGTTAAAACAAGAATTGCAGATCTGCTGTCTGTCAGATCTTCTAAAGCCAAGAGATGCAATAGCGAAGGCCAAAGTCACTATACTCCTGAAAGATAGTCAGCTACTCAAACCTATACGAACAGAGCAGCCAAATAATTTTTAGAAATTTCTAATAATTATTCAATGCGTAAACAGAAATCTTATCAATACAAAACCAGAAATGTTATCAATACTAAAACTCCCAATAGATAATACGTACCCTCCTCAAACACATGGGAACCCAAGATGGGCAGGTCAATTGAAATTACTAAGGCAGAAGCCGAACTCTTAAACACTTAAAGCAACAACTGCTGCATGACACTTCTAGCATGGCGACCCATATTGTAGCTGTGAATACAAGTGCAAAGTCAATAAAGAATAAAGAAGACATAATATAATAATATAAGCGATGCACAGAATCTCACTGCAGACTACCCAGCTGGATAGCCATTTACTACATATACAATTTAAAAATAAAACAGGAAAGTCTTCGAAATCGTTTGTTATTGGTATGACGTTAATATATCGCCAATGGAACATGCTAACGAATCTGATATCCATATCATCTGTCTGCCAATAGCTAAACATAAAACGTACGTAACAGCCGGAAAAACGGCATTATCTAAACATTTATATTTACCAAAGCTGCTTCTTCAAAACTGTCAACGAAGCCTTAGGGTATTCTCTAAAATATACTGAACCGCAAAATAAACGTCACCCCAAGTAACATTGCATGAAAAGTTGTCATTAAATATCTGAGTAATTTTTGTCAAAGTTTCTAAAACTTAACATTACCTTGTCCGGAATAATGAAATTTGATGATTAAAAAACAATGTAGATGACAATAAAACCGATCGCCCAAACGCATCACGGCAACGGCCATGGTAACCCGATGCACGTGAGTTCCATGCAAATTGAAATGCACATGCGTTCCCCCATTTCTTGCCCTAAAAAAATCCACCCAGATTGGATAACATTCATTCGTTATTGAATTGCTACCACATGCCAAGATTGACAAGAAATCAGCGACACCAAGCCCCTGGACAATTGCAAGCTGGACAAACTGCCCGGCAAGTAGCCAATGCATTTCAAGTCTACGTAAGGACCATATACAGGCTCCAGCAATAGTACCAGACCACCAATACCACAGATGACCGACCACGTAGTGGAAGACCAAGGGCCACCACCCGACGTCAGGGTCGTTAGATTGTGCGACATCATCTTAAAGATCGCTTTGTTACTGCTGCGGAAACTGCTCGACAGACCATGGGGACACACCAGCGACACATTAGTGCGTCGACGACTGACAAGCAGACACCTCCACTGTCACAGGCCACACAGAGGACTCATTCTGACACCACGTCATCGCCGGGAGAGACTCGTAGGGTGGTCCGAGCATCATGGTGTGGGGTGGAATTGGTGTTGCACAGAGGGTCGGCCATGTGGTCTTCCAGAACATCGGTCCAGGGAGAGGCAATGGTGTCACAGCAGCTCGGTACATTGATCAAGTCTTGAGACCACACGCCATACCTCATTTGGCACGTCGCCGCAACCACGAGTTTCAGCATGATAACGCCTGTGCCCATACTGCGAGAGCAACAAGAGACTTTCTCCAGCAGAATGGCATCGGAACAATGCAGTGGCCTGCCCTCAGTCCCGATTTAAATCCCATCGAGCACCTGTGGGACGAGATTCAAAGACGACTGAATGACGTCCGACCAAGGCCGACAACTGCAGCTGAGCTGCGTCAGGCGTTCCTCAGAGTGTGGGCTCAAGTCGGCCATGGCCTTCATCAACCGCGGACACACAAGATACTGACTTGTGATGCCATTTCCTCAGAGACTAGTGTTGTGTTTCACTAAGAATATTTGACACTTTAATTTCAACCTTGATGATCAGTTTTGCCAAGTTGCACCCTTTTAATATGTCTCAAAGTATGTTTACAGTGTTTGGACAAATAAGGTTTCTCATATATCTATCCATGTGAAGTTTCTGTTGCTGTTCAGTGTATATTAGAGGATATGTTGTGGACCCGGTGCGCACATGGATGCTGTCGACGTGGCTCCGAAGGTCATGAGATGATGGTTCATGTAGATCATATCACTTGACTGAAGGGTTTGCAACAGGGCATGAGTGGAAGAGGCCAGGGTCTTGTTGTCCTTGAACAGCAGATATGGTCGACCATCTGATGTGTCCGCCCAGACCCCATCGAGTTGATGTTCAGCTCTGGTCTGTGGAAGTAAAGGGTCTTCCTTCTGTGTGCGCTGTGAGAAATGATGGGATAATGTGTACTACCCGATCTCTTCTATTGGGCTCTTCCATACCCTTTGTTGTTTTATCCGAAAGACTGTATGACAAGAACGATGACTTCAACTTTCCAACAGTTAACTTTCCCTTTATGTCAAGCAGTTCCAACATGCTCTTTCTACGAAAATTTCAAGGAGTGTCAAACGGAACTTGCTCAATAGTCCAGGCAAAATAAGGTTTCACTTGGAACAACTTGCAACAGAATTTATTTTACCACAATGCATTTCTACAAGGTCCCGAAAACAACATACTAAAAGTCCCAAGCAATCCCAGTTTGGGAAATATGTCTAATTTGCATAATCCAATATGGCCACCAATTATCAATATATCTTCCATATGTCAGATGAGGGTCAATGCTTTGATGAAAAAAAACATTGCATTGTTGCATTGCGAAATAACCATATTATGTTTCTAAAAAGATATTCACAACAACTGAATGTTTTCGATAATTGACAAATCTGCAAAAATTCAAGATGGCCGCCAATTTCAAGATGGCCGCCAAGTTTCCTAAATGCGTGATTGCACTGTTGAATCGTTTATCTCTAAAATAGTGTGCTAGGACTTATATGCATATAACTTGGCACACTAACTCACTGAAGTATAGTTAACACTTTTAGATAAGAAATTCCGTCACCAGAGCCCCCTGGTGGCCCAACATTCCAAGATGGCCGCCTAGAGTTTGATGGCTAGACATAGAATATCAAGACACTGTTGGTCTCTGATGACATATTTGAGTGATTTGAACTTCTACATTGGGGTAAACAGACCCAAGGATGTATGTAGAATACTCAATCATTTGAATAAATCCAATATAACCACCAAATATCAATATTTATCTCTTAAATGACATGTTTTGGCGAGTTTAGATATCAATGTTGATTGTTATTGTCTGAATCTACTTATTAACATGACAATAAACGCGATAACAAGTTTCGTTTTCATTCATGAAAATACTTGTTGGAAACAAGTATGACCTATTTGAGGTCCTCTCAGAATTTACCTCAAACCAGTTTCACTAGAATCGATGAGTTATCTCCCTTGTAGTTCATTTGTGGAAATCCAATGCAGCAACCAAATATCAATATTTGTATATAAATCTGAAAACGTTTGATTCACTGCTCTTTCCGTTACATGACTGTAAAGGCACAAGTTAATGTTCGCCTGTTTTGTATGTACAGAAGTGCACCCAGATCTATGGTCATTCGATCGTAGGAGAAATTCTTGAACAAAGCAAAAATCAAACAGCCTGGACTACAAAAGGCTTTTGGATCAGGATCTCAACATTCAAGTACCATTTACAGTACCATATGTCCCCGTGCTTGTTCAGGTGAACACTTGACTTACTTTTGCATTGGTTGTGACGGGTTACACCACTGCTCATACGAATACGCTCATCTTCTCGCGAAATCCGAGTATAATAGCTGATTGATAGTGATTCATAAACACATGCTTATACTAGAGTCTGGATTGTAAAACGGATACTGTTTTTAGCAGAGGTTATGATTAAGGAACTGTTTCTTTTATGGCAATTTGTTCTGTTTAACTAAGTGTACTTGTATTGCCATGTAGAAGCTTGGGAGGAAACCCAAACTGAACTTTCAGAAAACAATGTACACGTGAGCTAGCGTTTTGTTGTACGTGATTCTACCGCATGTACCGCATGTATCGCATGTACCGCATGTACCACTTGTACCGCATGTACCACATGTACCGTAAGTACCACATGTACCACTTGTACCGCATGTACCACATGTACCGCATGTACCGCATGTACCGCATGTACCACATGTACCGCAAGTACCACATGTACCACTTGTACCGCATGTACCACATGTACCGCATGTACTGCATGTACCACATGTACCGCATGTACCGTATGTACCGCATGTACCGCATGTAACACATGTACCTGTATGCAGGGGTTTCCGGCTCAAGCTAGGTGAGAAAGGAATGTCAAATACTGGGAAGGTCATGCTCACCCTTTGACATCTGATATCATCAATGGTTTTTAGTGATCGATTCATATACATTTCACAGCTCTTTTGCCTTTTGCGCTCAATGGAATCTCTTTCGGCAGATAATCGAGACGGATATTCCCTGCCGTTGACGTCTTATGTGTAGGATGAGAATAGGGATCGGATCGGATGGTCAGGATCAGTTGATTGCTTGCAGCCTTACCCCAAGGTGTGAGACTTTACATTTGATCACAACCACCGGGTTGGCTGCACCAGATGCGATCATTTACCGGCAACCGTGGTTATGTTCGAATATTGCTGACTGTATCATTAAACAATAAACCAAATGTTTTCCGTCGTAAAGGTGGAAGACAATGCAGCTTAAGTAATAATGCTTATGATCAAACGTCGTATTCCCGTTAAGCTGCCGTGTTACTTTTTACTCCTTGTTTTCTTGTATTGATAATTCATTTATTAATCACGTAACAAATTACATTTAATGATGTTAAATATTTTTGTATGTTTTTGTTACATCTCGGAACAATTATTGAAATCACACATGTCTAAAAAAGGATTTATGATATCTTAAGACGTATTTGGAATAACTTTTATATGCATTCTACCATGCATGAATGAAACGATACTCCTTCAGTTAAATTTATATTCAGATACATCACTGAACTTGATCCAGACGGCACCTCACGCCTTTTGGGGCCTGTCGCTTCAACTCAAGTGTGGCGTATCGACGAACAGCACTAATGGAGCTCTCCTCTTCCAAAGAAACACTTTTGTCAAGTGTTCGGTGAAGAGAGATGATTGTACACAGTATACATCAGACAATGTTTCCAAGACACAGTACACATGTGGGTGTGGTCAGCAGAGTGACGGCAACTACGTCTACATCCTCAACGCCACCTCCTTACACGACGACGTTGAAGGAGACTGGAGATGTGAAGATAAAGCGTTTAGCAACATCATCCATGTCAACCTGATTGGTAAATATTAACATATACTTGGTCTGACATTAAATGAGAAAATCTCTATAACGCATGTGTGATTTGTGTTAAGGGGAACTTGGGCTGGAGAGTATTTGGCATAGGGATGCACTTCAAGGCTGCAACCTGCAGTCACTGTCACTTGCCACGCCTCAAACCGTACAAGTGTATAAGTCATGTTGTTGGCCCTAATGGCCTGTAAATGATGTATTCCGAGAAAAGGTTGTAGAAGTTGGTTGGTTGGTTGGTTTGTTGTTTTACCCCGCACTCATCAATATTCCAGGTATATGTCGGTTGTCTGTAAATAATCGAGTCTGGGCCAGACAATCCAGTGATTGATATCATGAGCATCGATCCACGCAATCGGGATCGATGACATGCATCAACCAAGTCAGCGGGCCTGACCACCCGATCCCGTTAGTCGCCTCTTACGACAAGCATAGTCGCCTTTTACGGCAAGCATGGGTTGCTGAAGATCTGTTCTACCCCGGATGTTCACGGGTCGTTTGTAGGAGTGACATAAGCGTATAAGGGCTTATAAGGGGTGCATTTTCATACTGTATTCTTGGTTTGTAATCGTCATGTTATCCATTTGTCGCATTTTGCTTAATTTTGAAGATGGATATACCAAGGCGTCTGAAAGTTTTAGTATTTAAGTAAGAGGTGAGGTGAAATTGGGTTAAACGTCGCGTCCAAGATTATTGCACTTATATAGCGACGTGCATGCACGTGTGTGTGTGGCTGCTTGTACTAGTCCGGACTGATGCCGATTTATAGTGCTAGCACACTCAGATACCATGCCGCATTTTAACATGAATACCCCACTCAGACACAGTATACTGACTCCGAGCCGACCAGTCCTTGTTTTAGCCCTTTAATGCCGAGCGCCAGACAGGGTAACAACAAGTACCATCTTTTAACGTCCTTTGGTAAGACGCGGCCGGGAATCGAACCCCGGACCTTCCGCTCCCCGGGCAACCGCCCTACTACTAGACCACGGAGGCGGTATTTAAGTAAGAAATAAGGTTTGAATTAGGAATGCTATTATCTGTTTTGCCCTTTCCCCCCAGAACCTGAGGGTCCAACACAGATACAGTTGGTCAAAACAGAACTCCAGACTAAGGAAAGAAGCGTCAACCTGACCTGCTCGGCCAGCTGTCTCCCCGACTGTCGCTACATCTGGACCAAAGGTGGACAGGACCTGACCAGGGGGAGTCGGGGTCAAGTGCTGGCACTGAAAGGGTTGGTGGGCGACGACAGTGGCAACTACACCTGCACAGCCGTCAACCCCTCATCAAACCACACCAGCAGCATATCGTATGTTCAGAGTAAGTACACTGTCCCTTTTATAATATTTCGTGATATAAGGAGTGGATGATTAAAACAAAATAAATACAGAAGTCTTCCAACACGGCCGTTAGCTAGTAATAGATTATTCAAACTATAAGTAAGGTGTAATGTGCTCTCTCTCTCTCTCTCTCTCTCTCTCTCTCTCTCTCTCTCTCTCTCCCACACACACACACACACACACACACACACACACACACACCTTCAGTAAAAATGTTTTAAAAGAAAAGTACACTTGAACACCAAAACCGTACGATGTTTTAATTTCTCATATAGACAGAATGCGAAAATAATTATAGTCCGTTGTAAGATTCCAAGTATATGAGTACGGCGCCGTTGTGTTCAGGGATGTCTGGATATCTGGACTAGGTGATTGAGTGTTGGTGGTCACGAATCAAAGGGAGATAACTCTCATATTTTTAATTCTTGTCAGGTGCGCTGTTTTCGTAAATTTCATGTTTTGACGACTGTTAATATATTCACAATGTACAAGGTATGTAATTATTATGATATAATGCAGTGTTGAGGATGTTACAAGACAAGAACAATTATGTATTAATAAATTGTGTCTTTGTAAAGTGACGTACATTTCATTAAAGCATTGTCCCTGAAATGGGATGGATAAATATTTACAAACATTTGTGCGACATGGATCAAATTTATTGTTTTGCAAGACAAACGCAAGTACAGTAAACTACGTTTATAACGAACACGCTTATAACGAACTGACGGATATAGCGAACTTACTTTTTTGTCCCGACTATTTGCTGTAGTTATGTTGTATATATGCTTATAACGAACTACGGTTATAACGAACTAAAATTAGGGGTCCCTTTGAGTTCGTTATATCCGTAGTTTACTGTACGTTCCTTGTTTGTTCTTATTTTGTACATTTTCAGATGTACCTGCCCGCTACGACCAAGTGACGACTGATGCAGGTATGTCGAGGACTGTACTTTGGGGGTAGTATCATCATAGTCGTATTATGGTACAGTATAATATTCTTCAGAAAATACGTTATTACAAAGATCCTTATACCACTGCAATTGAACACATACAGATTAATAAACGAGTCAGTAGATGGTTTGAATGTTATCAAATTTGCTGCAGTTACAATTAATGGGCGGACCATTTGATATTGGGTGGGGGTGGGGGTGTGGGGGGTGGTTGGGGTTGGGGTGAGGGTGTGTGTGTGGTTGTCTTACGGCACGTTCAAATTCAACCCATGCATGAAAAGAATGTTAACATTTCCCCACTGTTCACTAAAATATAATAACTGTACAGAACAATGAAAATAGCAGTATAATTAAACATTTCTATGTAATAAAAGACCATTTCTCACAACACCATGTGCTGAAAAAACCGTGTGTGAAGATTTCTTCAAGCTGACAGACAAAATGGCAAACCTGACATGTTTGTACTCACAAGTACTGGAGGAATGTACTTTTCAGTTACTTAGATTGTGGATGATGGACATAATTAGCATAGCTTTTGATGTAAACTGACGAACAAAAGAAACGTTACCAAACTGAAAGTTGGGTCAAAACACTGAATAGTGTTAGAAAATGGTTGAGAATCAATCGCCCAAACACAACCAAAACAGTTTGCTGAGTAATGCACGTGCTTCAGTACCCGGATCAGTGGAACTTGAGTTTGAAGTGAAACTTTTGCTGCACTTGTAGCATGCCAGCCTACAAAGATATGGTATAAAAGGAACGATGTACTGTTCATTCACACCTAAACCGTTGGACAGTGACAAATAACATGCAAAGAGTAAAGGTACAACTGAAAGAGCACGCCGTTGCTATGATACGTCAAGGAACAACGCATGACTCACGTTGAAAGGAGTTTTGGTTGTAGTCGAATGAGAGGCTGATGGTCCTATAGAGGCACTCTGGGCGGACGGGGGACAGGCCTAGGAGTGGCAGAGATCCGGTCACCACCACCCAGGAAAACACTTCATACGCATCCTCCATCTGAGGATTCGTATTATCACGGTGACGCTACTGTGCGCAGTTTAACATGAATACCCCACACAGACACAGTATACTGACTCCGAGCCGACCGGTCCTTGGTTTAGCTCCTTAATGCCGAACGCCAGACAGGGTAACAACAAGTACCATCTCCTAACGTCTTTTGGTATGACGCGGCCGGGGATTTAACCCCGGACGCTCTACCTCTAGACCAATATTTGATATGACAGTGATGTTACAGGTTTGATTATCGTCATGGAGGGTTCATGTAAAAAAATTACCATTAGATGCATATTAAAAAAGCTGCTTACACACTTTAACTGTAATACCCAGGTCTTGCAATTCAAATGTAAAACCTCCACGCTTGTCTCTCTTGAAAGAAGGGGAGGTGAAAGGGGGTTTAACGTCGCGTCCTCGATTATTGCACATTTATAGCGACGTGCATGCACCGCATGCGTGTGTGTGTGGCTGCTTGTACTAGTCCGGACTGATGCCGATTTATAGTGCTAGCACACTGAGATACCATGCCGCAGTTTAACATGAATACCCCGCTCAGACACAGTATACTGACTCCGAGCCGACCAGTCATTGTTTTAGCCCCTTAATGCCGAGCGCCAGACAGGGTAACAACAAGTACCATCTTTTAACGTCTTTTGGTATGAGGCGGCTGGGGATCGAACCCCGGACCTTCCGCTCTCCGGGCGGACGCTCTACCACTAGACCATGGAGGCGATCCTCTTGACAGAAGTACCTCTCAGAAGGTTACCGTGAGATAAGAAGATACCTACAATTTACAATAGAATAGACACAAGTGGGGTAGATTTATAAAAGAAGTGTCATAACATATCCTGATTCAATATTATCACTTGTCACAATCTGTTCGGTTATAACATCATGACAACGTTATACTTATCCATACTGCCTTTAAGTTATTTAATTATTAATTATTATTATTTTTATTCAATCAAACATTTGTGGTGAGGGGAAATTGGGTTTAACGTCGCGTCCAAGATTATTGCACTTATATAGCGACGTGCATGCACGTGTGTGTGGCTGCTTGTACTAGTCCGGACTGATGCCGATTTATAGTGCTAGCAGTTTAACATGAATACCCCACACACAGACACAGTATACTGACTCCGAGTCCTTGTTTTAGCCCCTTAATGCCGAGCGCCAGCCAGGGTAACAACAAGTACAATCTCCTAAAGTCTTTTGGTATGACGCGGCCGGGATCGACCCCGGATCTCCCGCTCTCCGAGCGGACGCTCTACCTCTAGACCACGGAGGCGGTCTCAAACATCTGTGGCTACATATGACGTATCTGTTTCAGGGATGTCAATGTTTGGGTATGGCGTGGGTGCTGGTGTCGCTGGGATGCTGGTTGTCATCATCATCGTTTTCTCCGTCTTCTACAGAAAATACAAGAAGATGAAAAGAGGTAAACATCCTAAATCAACTCAGACAAAAAATGTTATTGTTCATATGAAAAGCGAACTTGGACACAACTTAGTCGGATGAAGCGCAGTCAGTTGCCTTGACAATATGCCTTATTGTCCAAATGAATAACAAACTTTGGGATTCATTGCGTCGTTTTTCCGGCATTGTGCTTTCATCTGATGTCTTGAGCATGTACTTAATTATAATGCGTCAACACCAGAGAATAACCAGTCTCGATTATCCGAAGATTCCATTGGGAGTAAAAAGCAAAATAGCGTTGAATATGAATGGATCACTGAAAATCAGTGATGACACCAGGTGTTCGCGATAAGGATGAGCATGTCCTGAATTGCCGGTAGCACTTACCACTCACACAATCTACAGAAAACAGATTGCCTTATACATTTGATTACCAAATTATGTTTTTCACGAAAATGTACAGTTAACATGAAAGTCTATTTTTCAAACTGATTACAACAAACTCCTGACTGCAAGGCCTTAGGCAAGAACGTCAATTGTCTTTGCAACACAACACGTGATCATTGCAAGTGTTCATTAACAACTCCTTCATTTAACAAAGGGAGTCAATACATGATGTTCGTATCTAAGCTAAAAAGGGTTGGATGAGATGGTGAGGACACAGTAAACAATATACACTTGATACTATTTTTGGCCAAGCGGTCCATTGCATTGTATAGCCGTGAAGAGTTGCGCCCCTTCCCAGATTCAGGATTGGGTGTTTGAGTCTCAGTCTCTTCGTCATAGCATACATGGTTTCAGCTCGGGACTGTTCAAATCGACGAGCTGTCACACGGGCCTGAGCCACTTTTTGAAAAAATTAACATAAAATATTTTTAACAGTGATAATATTTTCTTAATTGATTGACGCCCCAACGAGAATCCAAATTATTGTTACCTTTCTTTTTCTTTTCAGCTCAGGATTTCCCTTACGCCTCAGCACAGCAGTATGTGAAACCATTTTTGAAATCACACATCAAACAGCTGAGCGAAACACAAATTCCCTATATGGAAAACTTATTTTACGTGATTTCATTCATGTACAAGTCTGAATAATATGTTGGGCACGGGTGGCCCAGTCATCTATGGCGCCGCGATTTGCTGTGCAGAGTTGCGTCCCTTGGGCACGCCAGAAACCTATGATTGTGGGTTCGAATCCCGTTTCGCCCCGATTATGTTTCTAGGTTTGTCAGAACCATACCCGTGCTCGTGGGTTTCACCGAAGTGGTAAACGTCTAAGACCTGCATCACTTCGGGCTTTCCTCCCACATTAAGCTGACACGCCGTGATATAACTTGAATACTGTTAAAAGTGGTGTTAAACCCAACTCACTCACTCACTGAATCATATCTAATGTATTCATTCAAACACATCCGATGATTGGCTATTGCTGGTGGCTTCTGAGCAGGTGCCATGACGTCATCCCGTGCTACATTAACCTGTAAATGTTCTTAACGTTACTAACAAAATATTTTATTATTCACTTTTATCTGCAACACAAAATATTACGCCCCGGACGTCAAACACGCGGTATATTAGTGATGCAACAGAATATTTCATTTTTATGACGTCATGTTATGTTCATGGAGTTGGCTGTCGCACGTTTCTTGTTACTCTGATATATATACTTCTCAAAAGATGTTAAGGGTCAAGCGATACTTTCATATTACTATAGTTAATCTGTTATGTCATGGACCGCGTCCGTGGTCTAGTGGCCGAGCGTCTGCCCGGAGAGTGGAAGGTCCGCGGATCGAACCCCTGCCGCGTCATACCAAAAGACGTTAAAAGATGGTACTTGTTGTTAACCTGTCTGGCGCTCGGCATTGTGGAGCTTAAACAAGGATTGGTCGGAGTCAGTATACTGTGACTGAGTGTCGTATTCATGTAAAACTGCGGCATGGTATCTCAGCGTGCTAGCACTATAAAATCGGCATCAGTCGGACTAGTACAGACAGACAAACATGCACGTGCATGCACGTCGCTGTATAAGTGCAATAATCTTGAACGCGATGTTAAACCGCTTTTCACCTCACCTGTCATGACATGACAAATTAACTGTAGTCGGGTGGACCTTAACTTATTCTGAGTAGCATAATAGAGAATAGAAATGTTATTTTGAATTTATAAAACTTTAAGTTGATGACCAAATTGATATGACGTTTGTATTTACCTAGGTTGCCCAATGCTGCGATAGACCTCAACTACTACCAGGAACTCCCCAACCCTCAGCTTGTGGACGGGGGATACACCCTAGCGGGTGAGCACCGTGCTGAGGGTAAGGAATTATGATCGTTTTGAAAAGTACAGTGTTGTTTTGGAGTTCCTCTAGTGAAACGTTTATAGTGTAGTGTAGCAGGGCGTGGAGTCATCCCACAGAAGACATCCTTACCTTGTCAGCTTGCTGACGGGGTTAACCACTTTGGTCATGAGGACAACGTATCCGACCACGGATCGGAAGGTACGTGGTTCGTACCCCATCACAATAATCGAAAAAGGTAGGGTCGTTACAGTAGCAGTCAATGCTTACTGGGTTAAGTGTGCATGTCTTTAACCAGAAGGCTTTGACGTTAGAAGAACATCAAGTCAGTACGGCGGAACTCTGGTGGTAAGGAAGAACCTTTTTCCGGGTGAGGTGAGTTGAGGTGAGGTTTTGCGTGGTGAGGTGAGGTTAGGTGAGGTTAGTTGAGGTGGGTGTGGGTGTGGGGAGTCGAGGTGTGTAAGGTGTAATATCTTGCAGTGTGATTAATGATTATCGGGGTAAGGACAAACACCCCGATGCTGAGGGTGAGGATGAGGATGAGGGTGAGGATGAAGGTGGGGGTTAAGAACAAACCCTGACTAAACACTTTGGGGGTGGGTAGAACATCCTTAGGGGAGTTGAAGCAGATACCGATAGATATCAGCGTCAGTAGTAGAAGTAGTGGCAGCAACAGTGATAGTGGTAAAAGTCGTTGTACTTGCAATAGAAAAAGTATTTCTAAACCAGAACGCTTTGAAGTAAGAAGAACATCAAGCCAGTACGGCGGAACTCTGGTGGTATGGAAGAACCTTTTGCGGGGTGAGGTGAGGTGAGGTGAGGTGAGGTGAGGTGAGGTGAGGTTTTGCGTGGTGAGGTTTTGCGTGGTGAGGTGAGGTGAGGTGAGGTGAGGTGGGTGTGGGGAGTCGAGGTGTGTAAGGTGTTATATCTTGCAGTGAGATTAATGATTATCGGGGTAAGGACAAACACCCCGATGCTGAGGGTGAGGATGAGGGTGGGGGTGGGGGTGGGGGTGGGGTGTTGGTGTGGGAGTGGGAGTTAGGAACAAACCCTGACTGAACTCTTTTGGGTTTTGTAGAACATCCTTAGGAGTGTTGAAGAAGATACCCCTAAATAGAAGCGTCAGTAGTAGAAGCAACAGTGATAGTGGTAACAGTCGTGGTACTTGCAATAGTAGAAGTATTAACAATAGTAGGAGTGGTAGTAGTAGTAGTAGTAGTAGCTTCAGTAGAAGTAATATTAGTACAGGTAGCACTGGCACTGGTCGAAGTATTATAAGTATTACCGATATAAACGGTTGTAGTAGTAGAAGTAGTAAAAGTAACAGTAGTAGTAGTGGTGGTGGTAGAAGTAGTAGTGGTAGTCGTAGTAGCAGTAGTAGTAGTAGTAGTAGTAGTAGTAGTAGTAGTAGTAGTAGTAGTAGTAGTAGTAGAAATATCATAAACAGACCCGTCAACTACACATGACATCATACATCTTGCCCTTGTAGTGTTCACAACCAAGGTTGACGTGAAGGCAATTGACGGCACAGACCCCACCACAGCTGTCAACCCGATTTACGAACGCATCCACAACGACAGCGTCTTATCTAAGTAAGGACAACCCTGGACACACGTCGGCCGTCATGGGGGTACCAAGGTCGCAGCGAACGTTGACGTAGAAGTCAATTGCATCAATGACAGATTTCCACTACATATGCTTTGACATGGCAAACATAGTCCAGTAGGCAGTGCATGCTTTTCTCAATGTGTGTTGCGTTGTCATTTGTGACAGATTTAAAATATACAGTCAAGTCTCGTTAATCCGACACTCGTTAATCCGACAATCGGCTTTATCCGACACTAATGATGGGAACCGATTAAATCAGTGCTATTTATTCCCGTTAATCCGACAATCTCGCACTCCGACTCCGACACACCTAATTTGCAACAAATTACCGAAATCACTCATTAATCAGTCTCGTTAATCCGACACAGTGATCAGCGTACTCCGTGGTCATCTGCCCGCGAGTACACAGCCCGCGATAATCAGGTTTTACTTTCTTCAAAGTATATAGGCCCACGACATGCTCGCCATTTGACGTTTTTCGAAAGCGTCACAAATGTTCTGCACTTGACCCGGCGGTGAGAGGGCTCTGGTCAGTGTCCACCATCTTCCCGAGGCAAGAGAGTTAACTGACTTTGAAAGTCCAGTTTCCACCCTTGCCGAACTAGGCTGGAATTCCTGGGCTCGATCGTAGCGCCACCAGTGGCTATTACGAGTTATGTCCTTTCTATGCCTCTCCTATTGACCAATCAGATTCAGCCTCTCGTATCACTTGCATTTGTTTCAAACAAAACGGTCAAGATCGATAATCAAGATCTATATGTGATAAAAAACGAGTCTTACATCGCGAAGTGCATCAAATCACGTGAGCACCTTGATTAAAAACATGAAAAGATTTAGAAAATGTAAGTTGACAAGGAGTTAGCGGTGCACATGCTTTGCAAATCCTGCAGTCGACCGAAATCTGCATGATACTCTACGAACCGGATTTCGATTTCGGTGCGCGATTTTGATTGGACTATGCATAGACTCGTTAGTCCAGCCAAAATGTAACTCCATAATACCAGCCTAGTTCGGCATGGGTGGAAACTGGACTTTTATAGTCAGTTAACTCCCTTGCCTCGGGAAGGTGGTGTCCACTGACTACACAGACACGTTTCAGTTCGCATTGGGATGCTGTGAGTCAAAGATACACATCAGCAACCTCCATTACCCCCTCAAGTATAACTCGTCCCTGTCATCGTGTTACTGTATGTTGAGATTATCACTTTGCAAAAAACATATTCTTTGTCTCGCATGTTCACGTGCATCGTCATACATAAGAGGAAACGTATGACGCGTGGACCCTGACTATATTTTCGAGACGGTGTTTCTTGTTTGTTAAAACTGCTGTAGATTGTGCATGGATCAAAACCATTTGGCAAGATACAATGCCTTTTGCGTTCAATGGAATCTCTTTGGGCGGATAATCGAGACTGGTTATTCTCTAGCGATGACGTTTTACGTTTTGTGTTCCATTGTTCATAAGTGAGTGAGTGGGTGAGTGAGTGAATGAGTGAGTGAGTAAGTGAGTGAGTGAGTGAATGGGGTTGGGTGAGGTGGGATGAGTGAGTGGGGTTGGGTGGGGTGAGTGAGTGAGTGGGGTTGGATGAGTGAGTGAGTGAGAGGGGTTGGGTGGGGTGAGTGAGTGAGTGGGTTGGGGTGGGCTTGGGTGAGTGAGTGAATGAGTAAGTGAGAGTGAGTGAGGTAGGTAGGTAGGTGGGGTGGAGTGAGTGAGTGAGTGAGTGAGTGAGTGAGTGAGTGAGTTAGACGTTGCTTTAAACAGTATTCCAGTTATATCACGGCAGCCCTTCGCACGCTGTCGCTTACTCACTCATTCACTGACGGTTGCTTTTTGTACTCGTGCACTGCTGTATTTGTGTAGCTTCTTGTGCAGTGAATAAACATTATCTCTCTTTGTTTTTAAGAGTTTATAGAGTCAGCATAATTATGGCACATGATGTATGTATACTGAACCGCAAAAGAAACGTCGCCCCAAGTAACATTGCATGAAAATTTGTCATTTAAATATCTGGGTAATATTTGTCAAATTTCTAAAATTTAACATTACCTTGTCCTGAAAAATGAAATTTAATGATAAAAAAACAAAGCAGATGACAATAAAACCGATCGCCCAAACGCATCACGCAACGGCCATGGTAACACGATGCACGTAAGTTCCGTGCAAATTGAAATGCACATGCATTCCCCTATTTCTTGCCCTATACAAATCCACCCACATCGGATAACATTCATTCGTTATTGAAATGCTACCACATGCCATGTGACCACCGGACTTCAGGATCATCAGATTGTGCGACAGCATCTTCAAGATCGCTTTGTTACTGCTGCGGAAACTGCTCGACAGACCATGGGGACACACCAGCGATACATTAGTGCGGACACCGTACGTCGACGATTGACGAGAAGACACCTCCACTGGCACAGGCCACACCGAGGACCAATTCTGACACCACGTCATCGCCGGGACCGTCTTCAGTGGGCAACACAGCACCAGCATTGGCGCCACCAACAGTGGAGAAGAGTCCTCTTCTCAGACGAAAGCCGTTACTGTATCTCAACAGCAGATGGCAGAGAGAGAGAGAGAGAGTCTGGCGACGCCGTGGGGAACGTTATTCGGATGCTTGTGTTGTTGAGAGAGACTCGTGGGGTGGTCCGAGCATCATGGAGTGGGGTGGAATTGGTGTTGCACAGAGGGTCGGCCATGTGGTCTTCCAGAACATCGGTCCAGGGAGAGGCAATGGTGTCACAGCAGCTCGGTACATTGATCAAATATTGAGACGACACGCCATACCTCATTTGGCACATCGCCGCAACCACGAGTTTAAGCATAACGCCCGTGCCCATACTGCGAGAGCAACAAGAGACTTCCTCCAGCAGAATGGCATCAGAACCATGCAGTGGCCTGCCCGCAGTCCCGATTTAAATGCCACTGAGCACCTGTGGGACGAGATTCAAAGACGGCTGAATGACGTCCGACCAAGGCCGACAACTGCAGCTGAGCTGCGTCAGGCGTTCCTCAGAGTGTAGGCTCAAGTGCCTATGGCCTTCATCAACCGCCTCATCCATTCCATGTATCGACGTTGCACGGCAGTCATCAATGCACATGGCGGACACACGAGATACTGACTTGTGATGCCATTTTCTCAGAGACTAGAGTTGTGTTTCACTTTAAGAACATTTGATGCTTTAAATTCAACCTTGATGATCAGTTTTGCCAAGTTTCATCTTTTTAATATGTCTCAAAGTATGTTTACAGTGTTTGGACAAATACGGTTTCTCATATATCTATCCATGGTGACGTTTCTTTTGCGGTTCAGTATAAATTTCAGACCTTGGAACATCCTTTTTTGTGATAAATGAATGTGGGAAGCGTTGCTAGGAGCATGACTGATTTTAGTAAATTTCCATCAATTACCTTGCTTCCCTTCACCCGGGGTATTGCATTAACTGGGCCACGCTCCACAAAGCAATGTTAGAGCTATACGACCATCGTAGGCTTATGTTAAAGTATAGTGGTCACGATAATCTTAACGCTGAGGATGCTTTGTGGAACCAGGTCTTTGAAGCTTAGGCTATAAATACATTTTTCTTGGGCACATTTTTCTCAAAAGTGAGGAGGGCGGTGGGACTTGTTTGGACCGAGATATTAACCCCCCCCCCCCCCCCCCCCCGTCATCAGTGTTGCGGAACACACGTCTTCAGCGGGGTTTTTAGTTATAAGCAGAAGAATCTCTGCTCTTTCAACAAAATGGGTAAGTACGTATCGTGTGACTGGTGTGTTAACATAGCGTCGTCTCATGGCAGGATGTGTGGTGCCAGTCAACATGCGCATATGTATTCATGCAAATTAAGCCGCGGGAGCTACATGTACCGGTATGCCCGTGAAGATCCGGGGTAGAATATGTCTTCAGCAACCCATGCTTGCCATAAAAGGCGACTATGATTGTCGTAAAAGGCGACTAACGGGATCGGGTGGTCAGGCTCGCTGACTTGGTTGATGCATGGCATCGTATCCCAATTGCGTGTACCGATGCTCATGATATCAATCCCTGGATTGTCTGGTCCAGACTCGATTATTTACAGACCGCCGTCCTATAGCTGGAATATTGCTGAGTGCGGCGTTAAACAACAAACCAAACCAAAAACATGTACCGGTAGGGCAGGACATGTTACCCTTTTCGCGAACACCTGGTGTCATCACTGATTTTTAGTGATCCATTCATATAATTATACGCCGAAACAGATAAATAATTCAACGCTGGCTTTTTAATTTTTAATTTATATTTTGATTTGTAGCCCCTACATACCACGTGACCAGGTGCTTGAAAAGTAGGCGATATTAAACAGTATAAAAAAAATGACAGATGAGAAAGTGGATAGGAGTTTTGGGGAAAGATATAGAAGATTGTGGTATTTTCTGTTTGCAAATATGGGGCACAGGTGGCCCAGTCGTCTAAGTCGCGATTCGCTGTGCAGAGTTGCGTCTCTTTGGCACGCCAGAAACCTATGATTGTGAGTTCCAATTCCGGTTAGCCCCGATTATGTTTCTAGGTTTGTCAGCATCAAACCCGTGCTTGTGGGTTTCACCAAAGTGGTAAACGTCTGAGACCTGCATCACTTCGTGCTTTCCTCCCACATTAAGCTGACACCGCGATATAACTGGAATACTGTTAAAAGCGGCGTTAAATCCAACTCACTCACTGTTTTCAAATATGCAGCAAACCAGAGCATTTGATTTGAAATGATGCGTTATCGCACCTATGTATGAATTTTTCAATGTTCTAATTTTGTTGTATCATTTTCTGCAGCTAAATGATATTTAAGTTATTTTCCTTTTATTTCCATAAATATATGTAATGCTTTATAATTATGAAAACGTGACCAAGTAGAAAGCTCTGGATTAATAAAAATTCTAACTTTAAGAAAATCATAGAAGAGATGGTAGAGTCTGTAGATATTCCTATTTTGTATAGAAATGACTGTGTTGTTATAATGCGATGTAATACTGGTATTTTATTCTGAAAGTTTCTTGTTTTATTGTCAATGCTGCATTGATTGATATATTTAAAACATACACATGTTCTTTTGATAGCGGTACTCAAATTTAGATTCCCATATCATGGCTAATTTGTTTAATGGTTCACTCGTCTTATCACACAACTTTTGATAGATAAACTTTCATATTAAAAGACAATAACATCACTCTTTGTCGATTCGTTTTTGATTGAAACAAACTGGTCATGTTTGAGAAAGTTAATAAAGTCTTTTGGAAGTGCTTTTATTAATTTAAAA